TTCCAATTCATAATGTTTTCCATTCAATGTTTTTCCCACGGCATTTTTCCCCTATGGATTCTATTTCTTCTATCCTCAGGGACCTTTATCTAATATACACATTTTGATTTCTGTTAATCTCCTCTGCTACTTCTCCTTAGCATCATTTTTTTTTATCTCCTATTCTAACAATAATAATCTCTGATCATTTTAGGGGCAACTGTGCACCCAAACTCTTACGATGCTTTGGTATCACATTACATGGTTAATGCTTTCCTACACATTTTCTAACAAATGTCACAACTTAAGAGATGGTAATCTTTCCCATAGTTGCTCTTTGTGTCATGTGATTGTACCAGGGTTACTATAGAGTGCTTTTATTTAACTCGTCATGTCTCCACAAAGGAGAATTTATTCTTCATTATTCAGTAGGAGAATGTATGAATACAAGTTTAGCATTTTTCCTATCTGGGTGAAAAAGTTATTTCTATATTTGGAAAAATAGGAACCATCATCCTTCTGGGTATAGCTTCCCAATCTGACTGCATTAAATTAACAGTGAAAAGCAGCATTAAATTAACATTTACTTAGGTTTATCTTTGTTATCTGTTTATGTTGTTCTTCATTCCTTCACGCAATTCTGTATTTCTCTCTCACAGTACTTCTTTCTACCCAAAGACTTCCCTTTATTATTATTAGTGTAGATTTGCTGGCTATAGATGCTTTTTCTGTCTCTCTCTGAAGATATGTTTACCTGTCATTCATTTTTGAAGAACACTTATGCTGGGCTTAGTATTCTAGGTTGAGAATGGTGTTCATTCATAGCACATCAAAGGCATCATTCCATTGCCATCTGCCTCCCATCGTTTGAGGAATAAGCTCAAATTATTGCTCTTTTGAAAGTAGTGTATTCAACCCTGGCCAGCTTTAGTATTTTGTCTTTGGCTTTGTTTCTTAGAAGTCTTGCTAAGTAAAATAGATATACATGTGGTTTTCTTCATATTTCTTATCTATGAGATATGCAGAGTTTTATACCTTTTACTAATTTTTGAAAATTTTCTGGAATTGTCTAAACAGATACTGCTTTTTCTCAATTTTGCTTACTTTTATCTTTCCAGAACACACTTTTTGGTAGTCTTTTTTCTCTCTCTCTCTGATTCAGTTTGGATATTTTCACATCTCTGGGTCTTGTGGCCCTGTAGGACCTCCTGGCTGGGACAGGAGCCCAGTCGTATGATGGGCAAAGCACATGGGGTAGGTGAGAGAGACCAGCAGCTCTTGGAAATGGGGACTGAGCTGTAAATATCTCCAACTCCCTCTCCCCAACGGCCCCCATTCCAAAAGGAAATCTCTCCTCCCCTCCTGAGTTGAGGGCAATCGCAACCCTAATAATAGCTGCTGTCCACCAAAACAGTGGCTGTGCATGAAGCCCTCTCCAACCCATGCCCTGTAAACCTCAACTCTGTACATCATCTTAATGGCCCCTAGATGGGTCCACTCATTATCTCCATTTTGCACTGGAGTAAACATCCCTAGGAGAGTGTCACTTGCTTATAAACTCTTGAAGAGAAATAGGAAATCCTGAATTCAAACCGAGACTGAAGGACCTCCAGCCCACAACCTTTCTATTCCCTCTGTGCTTGGTGTCAGACCCCATTTCATTTTGACTCTTCGGAGGAGCCTTCTCAGGCCCCCGAGGGCACTGTGCAGACTTCCCGGATGCTGACAGTCAGGACTACTATTTTCATGTGGGGCTAATATTGACCAGCTTCCTAAAGATTACCTCATTTGCCGGGTGCGGTGGCTCACGCCTATAATCCCAGCACTTTGGGAGGCAGAGGCGGGTGGATCACAGGGTCAAGAGATCGAGACCATCCTGGTCAACAAGGTGAAACCCCATCTCTACTAAAAATACCAAAATTAGCTGGGCATGGTGGTGCGCACCTGTAGTCCCAGCTACTCAGGAGGCTGAGGTAGGAGAATTGCTTGAACCCAGAAGACGGAGGTAGCAGTGAGCCAAAATCGCGCCATTGCACTCCAGTCTGGGTAACAAGAGCGAAACTCTGTCTCAAAAGAAAAAAAAAAAATACAAAAATTAGCTGGGCATGGTGGCGCGTGCCTGAAGTCCCAGCTACCCGGGAGGCTGAGGCAGGAGAATTGCCTGAACCCAGGAGGCGGAGGTTGTGGTAAGCTGAGATCGTGCCATTACACTCCAGCCTGGGTAACAAGAGCAAAACGCCGTCTCAAAAAAAAAAAAAAGATTACCTCATTTACTTATTCCTCCTTTTCCCCAAGGAGAGTAGAGAGGAATGATAATTCCTGTCTCTTAATGTATCTGCAGTTCAGAGAGGGCAAGCAACATTCATACAGGACCATTGTTTGTTTTGTTTTCCGAGACGGAGTGCTGCTCTGTTGCCAGGCTAGAATGCAGTGGCACAGATCTCAGCTCACTGCAACTTCCGCCTCCCGGGTTCAAGCTATTCCCCTGCCTCAGCCTCCCGAGTAGCTGGGACTACAGGCACGCGCCACCACGCCCAGCTAATTTTTTTGTATTTTAGTAGAGACACAGTTTCGCCATGTTGGCCAGGATGGTCTCCATCTCCTGACCTTGTGATCCGCCTGCCTTGGCCTCCCAAAATGCTGGAATTACAGGCGCGAACCACCACACCCCGCCGAGAAAATATTTTAAATAGCCCATTTTCAAGGCAAGATAAATCTAAGTACTGGCAGCCAGCCTGCAAATGTAACAAACTGCATGGCTCATGCACACAGAATGCAGAGGAGGGGTCGGCCCATAAAAAGGAAGAAAGTTTTGTTATTGGGAAATCAAAACTTAAGCAGGGAAGGGGACTGGCATTTAACCTTTTAAGTGGGATAATGAAACTTACGTGACATCTGAGAAGATTGTAAGCCCACAAAACTCGGCCAAGGAGGAACTGCCGGGGCGGGGGCGGGGGGGGGGGGGGAGAAGGGGGTGATAAATTGCCTGTTGTTACTGCCCCAGATGAGCCTGCCTGCCAGACACCCAATCTTGCAAGACTGTTACTGAAAGTCTCTTTCACTGTTCGTGCCTCTAAGTCTATTCTTTGGGTTTGGATGGGTGAGTGTTTCCCACACAAGCAGCTGAGGTCTACATTGAACTAGGTTGGCTTGCCTTGTTCCCTTTATTCCTCTGACTGGAAAGGAAGGAGACTCTGGGCAGATTCCTCTCTGCCCAGTCTGCTAAGCCCAGAATGTAAGTAACCACACTGGGACATTGCTGCCTGGAGCCTCAAGTCCTTCCCCACAAACCTGCTTCTCATGGTCACCATTGCCACTGCCTGAACACCTCCAACAGGGTCACTGGTGGCACTCCCCCAAATCGCTGTCACAACCACATGCAGTGATTAATTCCAGGGTCCAATTCATTCATTCCTGTCATCTAAACACCACCAGAGGATGCTTCCTCCACACCATACTGAACTGTCACTCAGTTATCAGTCACTACTGCAGACACTGGAGGGAAGATGAAGAATTGAGAATGTCCAATATGATCATCACCATGTCTCCATACCCATGGCTTTCCCCACACATCCCTCTAAAAAATATCCTTAATCCCAACTACTCCTCCCCACCCCTGCGTAAAATCAATGACTGACAATGACGAAGTCCCAAGAGTGTTCCTTCTCCTACCTGCAGTTGACCAGCTACTTCTGAAACTGGCTGAATCTGGGCTGAGCCCTTCTTATAAAGCCCATAAACGGCCGGGCGCGGTGGCTCACGAGGTCAAGATATCAAGACCATCCTGGTCAACATGGTGAAACCCCGTCTCTACTAAAGATATAAAAATTAGCTGGGCATGGTGGCGCGTGCCTGTAATCCCAGCTACTCAGGAGGCTGAGGCAGGAGAGGGAGGCAGAGGTTGCAGTGAGCTGAGATCGCTCCATTGCACTCCAGCCTGGGTAACAAGAGCGAAACTCCGTCTCAAAAAAAAAAAAAAAAGCCCATAAACATCCTGTCCTCCTGCCTAGATGAAACCTGCTCGCACATGTACGTTCCCAGGTTGTGCTGCGGTATGAACCGTTCTCTGACTCACCAGTGCATCATGCAGTATGCAGTGATGGGCGTAGGCAGTATTACCATATCAGGTTGTGCCTGCCCCATCACAATTGGCCCACAGATAGTGCAATTGTGTCTGTGATCCACACATCAGGTTTTGGGTGTCCCTATCACACGTCTGCCCCACGAGTCTCTGTGGAGACTGCTATGGTGTTTCCGTGTCTCCATCCTGTCTCACAGGTCCCTGCGTGTTCTGCACCTGCCTGGGTGTTTCATGTTTCTCATACTCTCTTCTGTGGTGGATGTGGCATACATGTATGGCTCCAGGCTGTGCTGGGGAGTGTCAGCTTCCTACATCTGTCAGCGTATGCCACAGGTGTGTGTGTATGTTGCTAGGAAGTGCTGTCACCACTGCACATCTGTCTCACAGCCAGCACATACAGTACCTGTAATGTTTATTTCCAGGCTGCCCATGTTGTGACAGCAAAAGACACACTGTTTCCAGGTTTGTCACCACCATAAACCCGTCCATTTGGAAGAGATCTTAATTACTAATTTCATCAATATCTAGTATACAGGAAATACTGGGGAATGGGGAGCAGAGTAGGCAGTGAACACATTGAGCAGAATCAGAGATTTAATAAGCCAAATCAAGAATGTGGGACGTTCTAATGGATAAGCAATTTAGCAATGTCATATTAATATTAAAAAAGCAAGCAGTACATAGAGGTTAATAAACTCAAAGACACACCTACTAAACATCGAATATATTGTGTATGCTCATAGCATATTAATCTTAAATATGCTTGTAGCAATCTGTCTTGATAAAATTCAGCACTGTATGTAAAATATAATTTTGTACATATATACATTTTTATTTTGTATATTAAACTTATAGTTAGGAAAGGGTCCTTAAATTTTAGAAATGCAATCTGAAGACTTTATGCCTTTAACAAAATATCTGTGATTATAAATCCACATAGGGACAGATGAAACAAGAACCACCAGGAACTGCTTGACAGTTTGTGATGAAAAGAAGAAAAAAAGAACGACCATAAATAATAAATGCACCACTGCATTCCAACCTGGGAGACAGAGTGAGACCCTGTGCGAAGAAAAGATAAACGGTGGAAGATTGGGACAGGGTTCATCAAGGTTTCATAACAATGTCTTCCATTTATGGACATATTTGAAAATAGGCAGAATATGTCCTAATATTTATCTTAGAAAAGGCAGAGTATGTCCTATGCTGCAAAGGATAAATTGAAAAGGACTTGAAGAAACACTTCATTTTGGGGACGTAAGATGTATAAAAACAAATATATATGTACATATTTTTATTTCTTTGAGACAGAGTTTTTCTCTTGCTGCCCAGGCTGGAGTGCGATGGTAAGTCATCGGCTCACCGCAACCTCGACCTCCCGAGTTCAAGTGATTTTCCTGCCTTAGCCTCCTGAGTAGCTGGGATTACAGGCATGTGCCAGCATACCTGGCTTATTTTGTATTTTTCATAGAGATGAGGTTTCCCCATGTTGGTCAAGCTGATCTTGAAATCCTGACCTCAGATAATCCACTGGCGTATGCTTAGTCTCCTACCGCACCCAGCCATATATTTTAAAAATAAACAATCCGTTCTAAGGTTAAGGATAAAAAACCCGTGCAACTTAAGTCAATTACATCTCAATAAAGCTGTTAAAAAAATAAATATTTAAAACTTGCCACTTCCTGATCATTTTACTTTTTTTTGTTTGTTTTTGAGACGGAGTTTCGCTCTTGTTACCCAGGCTGGAGTGCAATGGCGCGATCTCGGCTCACGGCAACCTCCGCCTCCTGGGTTCAGGCAATTCTCCTGCCTCAGCCTCCTGAGTAGCTGGGATTACAGGCACGCGCCACCATGCCCGGCTAATTTTTGTATTTTTAGTAGAAACGGGGTTTCACCATGTTGACCAGGATGGTCTTGATCTGTTGACCTCGTGATCCACCCGCCTCGGCCTCCCAAAGTGCTGGCATTACAGGCTTGAGCCACCGCGCCCGGCCATTTTACGTTTTATTGTCATCTTTATTCTTCTGATTATCTGTGGATACTCTACCAGTATATCGGAAACAGAATACAAAGGTGTGTTACCAGAAACTCTTCCCAACTCCAGGTTCAGTGACATCATTTTGGCAGCTTGAAATTGACCACAGCTGGGGCTGGGAGAGTAGGGTGACCTTGGCCTTGTGGATCCATGGCCTGAGGCGGGTAAGAGGCTTGGGGGTGAGTATGGGTGAGGTCATAGAAAGGAGGGAGGAGTGATGGCCGGAAGCAACAGTGCGACTGTATGCTTAGCTGAGGAGTGGTACTGCTGACAGAAGGCGTGAACAATTTTACCAAAGTGAGCTCTTGTTCATGCTGCCCACAGGTCACTCCAAAACTCCTGTTTCACACTTTGTGCAGACAAACCTTCCAGAACTGCAGGATGCACTTGAACGCCAGTGCTGGGACTCGGCTTCCTTACTTCCCTCCTTTACATAGTTTTTATAAGTGTTTCGTCGGAGCCTCTTATACTATGCTCTTCCTAGGAACTGGGCACACAGTGAATAGGAAAAAAGGCCTTGGTTTCCTCAAAGCTTAGAATCTCGTAGGGAAGATGGAAGATTTAATAAGCAGTTTTAATAAAATGCTAACACTAAGTAGGCACTCAGTAAACGTTTGCTTAATAAAACCAAAAGTATGGCTGAACATATACCTCTATGTATATAGTTCTGACTTTTATAACCACGCCCTATCTAAAATCACCAAGTAAGGGTAGACAGAAAACCAAAAAGAATATAACACGAGCATTTACATTAAGGAAACTGGCAAAGACTACAAACCTAGTTTTAATTTAATACATTATCGAATGCTTAGATTTAAGAAAGTTGGCCAGGCGCAGTGGCACACGCCTAATATCCCAGCGCTTTGGGAAGCCGAGGCGGCTGGATCACGAGGTCAAGAGATCGAGACCATCCTGGTCAACAAGGTGAGACCCTGTCTCTACTAAAAATACAAAAATTAGCTGGGCACGGTGGCGCGCGCCTGTAGTCCCAGCTACTCAGGAGGCTGAGGCAGGAGAATTGCTTGAACCCAGGAGGCAGAGGTTGCGGTGAGCCGAGGTCACGCCATTGCACTCCAGCCTGGGTAACAAGAGCAAAACTCCGTCTCAAAAAAAAAAAAAAAAAAAAAAAAAAGAAAGAAAGTGACAGAGAACATGTTAATGCAGATTAAAAATAAAAATGTATAGAGAATATGGGCATTACATTATGCACAAAAAGACTGTGAAAAAGACCAGGTGCGGAGGCTAATGCTCTGTTATCTCAGCACTATTGGAGGCAGAGGTGGGAAAAATTCTTAAGGCCAGGAGTTAGAAACTAGCCTAGGAGACCCTGTCTATATACACACACACACACACACACACACACACACACACACCACACATTCTTACATGGGTGGTGAGGAATTTTTAAAAGAAAATTACTAACTAGTAACGCTACCCACTAACCGAAGCTAAAGATTTAAACATAAGACCTAACACCATAAAAAGCCTAGAAGGAAACCTAGGCAAAACAAACTATCATTAGAGTGAACTGGCAACCAACAGAATGGGAAAAAATTTTTGCAATCTACCCATCTGACAAAGGGCTAATATCCAGAATCTACAAAGAACTTAAACAAATTTACAGGAAAAAAACAACCCCATCAAAAACTGAGCGAAGGATATGAAAAGTCATTTTTTAAAAGAAGGCATTTATGCAGTCAACAAACATATGAAAAAAGCTCATCACTGCTCATTAGAGAAACAAATCAAAACCACATTGAGATAGCATCTCACACTAGTTAGCATGGTGATCATTAAAAAAATCAGGCAACAACAGATGCTGGAGAGGATGTGGAGAAATAGGAACAATTGTACACTGTTGGTGAAAGTGTAAATTAGTTCAACCATTGTGGAAGACAGTGTGATGATTCCTCAAGGATGTAGAGATAGAAATTCCATTTGACCCAGCAATCCCATTACTGGGTATATACCCGAAGGATTATAAATCATTCTATTATAAAGACATGAGGCTGGGCGTGGTGGCCCAAGCCTGTAATCCCAGCACTTTGGGAGGCCGAGGCAGGTGGATCATGAGGTCAAGAGATCGAGACCATCCTGGTCAACATGGTGAAACCCCGTCTCTACTAAAAACACCAAAAATTAGCTGGGCTTGGTAGCGCGTGCCTGTAATCCCAGCTACTCAGGAGGCTGAGGCAGGAGAATTGCCTGAACCCAGGAGGCGGAGGTTGTGGTGAGCCGAGATCGCGCCATTGCACTCCAGCCTGGGTAACAAGAGCGAAACTCCGTCTCAAAAAAAAAAAGGCACGTGCACACATGCGGCACTGTTTACAACAGCAAAGACTGGGAACCAACCCAAATGCCCATCAAAGATAGACTGGATAAAAAGAAAATGTGGCACATATACAACATGGAACACTATGCAGCCATCAAAAAGGATGTTCATGTCCTTTGAAGGGATATGGGTAAAGTTGGAAACCATCATTCTCAGCAAACTGACACCAGAACAGAAAACCAAACACATCATGTTCTCACTCATAGTAGGTATTAAATAATGAGAACACATGGACACAGGGAGATGAACATCTCACACAAGGGCCTGTCAGGGGGTGGGACACCAGAGGCAGGATAGCAGGGGGTAGAAAATTGGGGAGGGATAGCATTACGAGAAATATCTAATGTGGACGACAGGGAATGGATGCAGCAAACCATCATGGCACGTGTACACCTATGTAACAAACCTGCACATTCTGCACATATACCCCAGAAGTATAATAATAATTTTAAAAAATTAAAAATTTGGGCGAGGCATGGTAGTTCACACCTGTAATCCCAACACTTTTGGAGGCAAAGGCGTTTGAGACCAGCCCGGCCAACAGAGCAAAACCCTGTCGGTTCTAAAAATACAAAAATGAGTTGGGTGTGGTGGTGTACACCTGTAGTCCCAGCTACTTGGGAGGCTGAGGCATGAGAATGGCTTGAATCTGGGAGGCGGAGGTTGCTGTGAGCCGAGATTGCGCCACTACACTCCAGACTGGGCAACAGAGCAAGACTCTGTCTCAAAATGAGAACAAAATTGAGGGCCAAGCATGGTGGCTCATATCTGTAATCCCAGCACTTTGGGAGACCAACACGGGAGGATCTCGAGTCCAGGAGTTCAAGACCAGCCTGCGCAAAATGGGAAAACCCCATCTGTACGAAAACAATTAGCCAGGCAAAGTTAGCCACACAGCTGTAGTCCCAGCTACTTGGGAGGCTGAGGCAGTAGAATCCCCTGAGCCTGGGATGTTGAAGCTGTAGTGAGCCATGATAGTACCACAACACTCTGTCTGAGCAACAGGGTGAGACCCAATGTCAAAAAAAAAAAAAAAAAGAAAAAGAAAAAATTTCCTCTGATAGAAAAAGACTTGTTAAACACAACAAAAAACTGTATCATAGAATAATGAGGAAAATTCCAACATGTCTTTATTACTAAAGATAGTTATTTGGCACTGTTTTTAAAATATAAACTCATCTAAAAAAAAGCAGGGGAAGGCCAGGCACGGTGGCTCACGCCTATAATCGCAGCACTTTGGGAGGCCGAGGCGGCAGATCATGAGGTCAAGAGATCGAGACCATCCTGGTCAACATGGTGAAACCCCGTCTCTACTAAAAATACAAAAATTAGCTGGGCATGGTGGCGCGTGCCTGTAATCCCAGCTACTGGGGAGGCTGAGACAGGAGAATTGCCTGAACCCAGGAGGCGGAGGTTGTGGTGAGCCGAGATCGCGCCATTGCACTCCAGCCTGGGTAACAAGAGCGAAACTCCGTCTCAAAAAAAAAAAAAAAAAAGCAGGGAAAAAATATGAACAGATATTTTATGAAAGGTACACAGGTGGCAACTAAAAACATTAAAAAATGTTTAACATAATGAAGTTTTAGGAAAATGCAATGAAAATCACAGTGAGATACCACTACTCATATATTAAAAGAGCTGAAATAAAAAAGAGTGGCCACATGAAGCTCTGGCAGGGATGTAGAGGAACTGGAACTCTCAGATGCCCTTGGTGGGAATGCAAAGGAAACATCCATTTAGATCAGTTTGGCATTTCTTAAAATGTTAGATATTCACCTACGTTGTAACTAAGACATGACAGTTTGAGTTATTAACATAGAGAAAATAAAACATGTCCATATAAAGAACTGAATGCAAGTAGTTATAGCCGCTTTATTTGTAATATACAAAAATCTGTAAATAACATAAATGTCCCTAAACACATAAACAGTGACTTATCCACAGAACAGCATGATACTCAGCAACACAAATATTCATCATTGTTGAATCTCAAAATAATTATACAGCATGAAGAAAACCAGTAAGAAAAAAAGTCTGTGTGTGTGTGTATGTATGTATGTATATATATAAAATTTAAAATTCCAGAAAATGCCAACTAATTTACTGTAAAGGAAATCAGTTGATCCCGGAAGAGCTGGGGAAGGCAGAAAGAGATTAGAAAAGGATACAAGGAAAATATATGGGTGACAGATAAATTCATTTTCATGGTTGTGATGATGGTTTCATGGCTTTACCAAAACTGTACATTTTGGATACCTGTACTTTGTTGTATGTCAGTTGTAGAAATTAGACTAACTTCACAAAGCTTTAAAAAGTGGTTCAAAATTAAGAGCCTAGATGTTCCACTTTCTTTTTCTGAAAGTCAGGTTGGTAACCTGATACAGACTCCACCATCTCTCTGTCTCCTCATGCGCTGAGAGAGGCAACCGTGCCTCAGGGGCAGAAAATTCTGGCAAGCACTGAAGGCTGTTGCCACCTGAATTAATAGGAAAATGTTGGCTGAGTCACAAAGTCACATCCCTGAACTGCAGAATGATCCTTCTCTCTATTCTTATTCTCCTGCTTGCATAGCACTGGCCTTGAGATGAACAGCCCAGAGAGGATATAAGGAGCCACAAAACCGTTATGGACCGTTTTCTGACAATGATCTCAGCCATAAGAAACAGTTACAGAGATCCTGAAAATTTCTGTACTCACTAATCCCACACAGCCATATCATTGGAAAATTTGTAACGAACTTTGAGATAGAGGCATTCCATCTAATTTACTGCAGTCTACTCTACTCCCCATTTGCCCAGTTTTGGTCCCAATTACAGTTGTGCCTGGAACTTCACCTCTACACCTATAGTCTGAAAACAAGTGGAACCAGCCTACACTGACTTATACATCATGGCACATGGCTCCTTTGCAGGGCCTGGGAAACAGATTCCCCCCAGTGATGCTAAGAATCATGTGGTATCTCCTGTGAACAACTGAACAAAATTTACGTTCACGGAAGCACTGGGGATTGTCACAACTACCTCTTCTTTTCTTTTCTTTTTGAGATGGGGTCTCGCTATGTTGCTAAGGCTGGACTGCAGTGGCTATTCACAGGTGCGATCCCACTACTGATCGGCATGTGAGTTTTGACCAACTGCCTCCTTTTCACGGTGACCTCTGACCTCACAAAAATGGCAACAGATCACAATACAGGAACACAAAGCCTGGCAGTCTTGACTTTGAGGCCTTGGGCAGTAGGCCAATGACACCAATGCAGGACAGAATCCTGTACTCTGCCATCACATCGTCCCTTACGAGCACAGAAAATTTGAGATCTCCACAAAATCTATCCACCCCTTCATGCTCACATGACTATTCTGCTGATAAGCCATTCAACACAATGAATAGAAACCCCAAGATTAAAAGTGCATAAATTTTTTAAAACCTTTGTTTTGAGACAGAGTTTCGCTGTTGTCACCCAGGCTGCAGGGCAATGGCGCAATCGTGGCTCACTGTAACCTCTGCCTCCGGGGTGCAAGCAACTCTCCTGCCTCAGCCTCCCGAGTAGCTGGGATTATAGGCGCCTTCTACCATGCTGGCTACTTCTGTATTTTCATTAGAGATGGGTTTCACCACATTGGTCAGGCTGGTGACCGGGCCTCAGTTGATCTGCCTGCCACAGCCTCCCAAAGCGCTGGGATTACAGGCCTAAGCCACTGCGCCCGGCCTTTTTAAAAAGATCACCAATCAGAGCAATGGGCGCCAAGCAGTTTCCAAACTGGTGAATCAGAATCTGGAAATATTCATTACAAGCATCATGTGAGACCAACAATGTCTCTAAAAAAAGTAATCCTTCTGGCCGGGCGCGGTGGCTGAAGCCTGTAATCCCAGCACTTTGGGAGGCCGAGGCGGGTGGATTACAAGGTCAAGAGATCAAGACCATCCTGGTCAACATGGTGAAACCCCGTCTCTACTAAAAATACAGAAAATTAGCTGGGCATGGTGGAACGTGCCTGTAATCCCAGCTACTCAGGAGGCTGAAGCAGGAGAATTGCCTGAACCCAGGAGGCGGAGGTTGCGGTGAGCCGAGATCGCGCCATTGTACTCCAGCCTGGGTGACAAGAGTGAAACTCTGTCTCAAAAAACAAAAAGTAATCCTTCTTAGAAAGCTGACAGTGCAACTCAGATTGATTCCTCTGGACTACAAATGGGACAGGTCTATACTCTAAAGTCAGAGAAAGGACCATGAGGACTTCCTGCATGCTTGGGCTATTAATAATTTCCCCAAGCAAATGGGAGAATACAGAGGTTTATTTCTCTGAGCACTGTGGGGAAGTGACTCATGCACATGGTGTGCACCTGCCAGGTGGTAGAGATGAAATGGCTTCAGCCTCAGAAATGGGCAGTGACGTAAATCAGGCTATGGCCCTGGACAGATTATAAATAACAAGGAACCTCTTCAAAGCTTCCCACATACCCGAAGCTTATGAAGAATCGCCCATTGTGGCTGCTCAAAGTTTAAATTTAGGAGGATGGCTCCCAGTCTCTCCAGTGCTATTATACCAAATAAAGAAACAGCACCTTCCCTTCACATTTAAGGCCTTTCTTCAGTGTGAACTTTCCGATGTCGAATGAGGTTAGATTTGCGGCTAAAGGATTTCCCACATTCACTGCATTCATAAGGCCTTTCTCCAGTGTGAACTCTTTGGTGCCGAATAAGGTCAGATTTGTGAGTAAAGGGTTTCCCACATTCACTGCACTCATAAGGTCTTTCTCCAGTGTGACCTCTCTGGTGCTGAATGAGGCTAGAGCTCTGGCTAAAGGATGTCCCACATTCACTACACTCATAAGGTCTTTCTCCAGTGTGAACCCTCTGGTGCTGAATGAGGCTAGCACTTTGGCTAAAGGACTTTCCACATTCACTACACTCGTAAGGTCTTGTGCCAGTATGAATTCTCCTGTGTTGAATGAGGTCAGGTTTGCAGGTAAAGGATTTTCCACATTCACTGCATTCATAAGGCCTTTCTCCAGTGTGAACTCTTTGGTGCCGAATCAGGATATATTTGCGACTAAATGATTTCTCACATTCACTGCACTCATAAGGCCTATCACCAGTGTGAATGCTGCGGTGTCGAATGAGGTGAGAGAACTCTCTAAAGAATTTCCCACATTCGCAGCACTGATAAGGCCTTTCTCCAGAGTGAACTCTCTGGTGTTGGAAAAGGCATGAGCTTTGTCTAAAGGATTTCCCGCACTTGCCACATTTATAAGGCCTTTCTCCAGTGTGAACTCTTTGGTGTTGAATCAGAATAAATTGGCGGCTAAATGATTTCTCACATTCACTGCACTCATAAGGCCTATCACCAGTGTGAATGCTGCGGTGTCGAATGAGGTTAGAGAACTGCCTAAAGGATTTCCCACATTCGCTGCACTCGTAAGGTCTTTCTCCACTGTGAATTCTCTGGTGTTGAATGAGTTCTGATTTGCAGCTAAAAGCTTTCCCACAATCACTGCACTGATAAGGCATCCCTCCAGTGTGAACTCTTCTGTGTCGAATGAGATTGAAGCTTTGTCTAAAGGATTTCCCACATTCAAAGCACTGATAAGGCCTTTCTCCAGAGTGAACTCTCTGGTGTCGGAAAAGGTTAGAGCTTTGTCTAAAGGATTTCCCGCACTCACCACATTTATAAGGCCTTTCTCCTGTGTGAACTCTCTGGTGTTCAATCAGGTTAGATTTGCAGCTAAAGGATTTCCTACATTCACCACACTCATAACGCACTTCTCTGGTGTGACGTCTCTGGTGGTGAATGAATTCAGATGTATGGATAAAGGCTTTCCCATGATCACTGCATTCATAAGGCCCTTCTCCAGTGTGAACTATCTTAGGTAAGCCTAGGTGGCACTTTTTGCTAAAGGATTCCCCACATTCACTACACTCGAATGTCTTTGGTCCAGAGTGAATTTGCTGGTGCTGAACAAGTGTGTTCTTGCAGGTGAAAGCTTTCTCACATTTACTACAGTCATAAAGCCCTTCTTCAGAGCAGACACTCTGAGGCTGAACAAGTGTGTGTGTGTGGCTTGAAGCTTTTTGACATTCACCCCACTGGTAACAACATTTTGCCCCATGAAATGCCCGTATATGCTTGCTGCTGCTACTGTGTGGCTCCTCACCACTAGGAGTGGCTTGGTGTTGGAGTAGGCCCGTGGAGGGTGGGACGTCCTCCCCACAGGTAAAATAATTCAACATATGGAATCTGCAGCCTGTCACAAATGTAGCCCCATCCACATTCCTTTTCCAGGGTTCTTCTTCATTGTTATGCTTTTGGTGCTGGTGAAGGTCAGCATTAAAACAGAAGCCTCTCACACTTGTGCCACCCAAGTAAGACTTTTGCACAGGGGATGTGGTTTGGTGCTCAGCCTCAGACAAAATGTCCTTCAAGACTGGGGCACACATCTTAACCGCACTGAGGTGAGTTTTCTGGGTGGGTGTGTCCCCCTTAGAAGTTCTGACCTGTAACTTTCCTCCTACAGATGCAGTGTGCTCAGAAGCTATGGCCTCATTCTGTGTCCCATGGCAATAACCTGAAAGCAGAGAAACACTGATGAAACGCATGGCGACTTTGATGAAAGGGGAAAGATGTATCACAGAAAGTGTGAGACACAAGAACTGAGTGCACAGAACCGTTCTGAGAACAAGGGAACTGGGGAGGAATAGTCTGCTTTGAAGTACTGGGCTTTGGAGACTATAGAGATGTCATTTCATCACAAGAAGGACAGGAGAGTGAGGTACAGCACAGGAGGAGGAGGAAGACGGTCTCCAACTCACTCTCTGCCAAAGCCCTCAGGAGGACTTTGCTATTCATGTTTGTGCTACGAAGTAGGCTGCTGTCGTCCAGTCCTAGGTAAATCCAATGAAACCGGGTAGTTGGTGATCAAAGAGGCCTATCTGAGGCTGTGTGTATACCTCATAACACAGTGAGTGTAGACTGAAGATCACTGAAAAGCAGTGAGCTGTAGAGAGGAACAAGTGACACTGAGACCACGAGGGCGGAGGTAGCCAAACGCTGGAAGTGATGATGAAACGACAATTCAGCACAGTATTAACTACAGGGAAGTAGAAGTAGAAACGAGGTATGGCCAGTGGCACTTGCACCAAAATGCTGCCGGGCACACTGCAGGTTCCTGATGTGATTCTAATACAACCATGAGGTCATGCCCTTCCAAGGCTGCCACTCACTAAGGCCAGGCCTCCTCTGAGACCACCTTGCCTTTTCACTGTGTGAAGCGACTAGGGCACTTCCTGCAGCCCTCACCGTGTTTCCACATAACACATGAGTAATTTAAGTCTCCAGGAAAGAGGACAGGGGAGTAACCAGCACTCACAAAACAAACAAAAAACACTCAAAGGAGGGTCTTGTAAAAAGAGCTCCCTAGTTCATGTAAGGAGTAACCATGACAATGCCTGCAATGGCTGATATCGGTGCACATAAGGAAGTGGCAGCTAGAGGAAGAGGTCAGAAGGTACCGTGGATCTGTACACAGTCATCCTCACAGGGAGACGACAAGAAAGGTAAGATCCAGGAGGCTGACAGCAAGACTCCTGAGACAGAGAGAACCCTGGGGTCAAAAACTAAGGCAGAGACCATTCAGAACACTGGGAGGGATGCTAGGACCTTACCCAGGGAGGTCACATGTGCAAAGTTCTCCAGCATCACATCGCAGTACAGGAACCTCTGAGCTTCATCAAGGAGCTCCCACTCTTCTTGGGAGAAATAAATGGCCACATCCTCAAAGGTCGTACGCTGTCATTGCAGGAATAGTTCAATCCACGATCAGACTTGGAGTTCATTATCCTCTCACCCCCAATATCCATCCCCGGGTCACCCTATTGTCCACCTCAGAGGAGATAACCAGCCACGGTGCCATCGATGCCTACTCTCTCCCCACAGTTCCACTGACACCAAGTCCCTGAATAACAACAATAGGCACGTGAACAGATAGATGCTATCTAAGCTCTGGGTCTGGCAGGTAGGGTATACCTCTCGTTACAAACACCGGTTAGGGAGAAGTGGCCATAGAGAGGGTGTGAGTGATCTGACATTTGTCTTGTCAGGCAGTATCCCTGAAGTCGCCAAGATTCATCCTCCAAGACACAAGTAACATGGGCTCACCCTTTACCCCTATGACTCCAGTTCACCCGCAAGGTCCTCAGTTTATTCTCTCTTCTCATGCACATCACTCTTTGAACCACACCTGTCTCACACAGCTGTATTCCCACAGCCACAACCTCAAAGGTCACACAACTTTTCCATGATGAGGACAGTTCATTCTATGATCAGTATCTTCCTAGGATTCCAAAGTCATCCCCGCTGCATCTATCCCTGTTGATCTTCCTCTCCATCTTCTCATATGAAAGAATAAAACTGGACCTGGTGACACTGATGCCCCCTCTCTCCGCATGATCCCATTCGTCATTGTGTTCTCCCATACTAATAAGAGGCAGCTGGTCAAGTATCTAAGCTCTGAGCCTGCCGTGCAAGGATCCACACACTCTCCTGTACAGAAACTCTCCTGGAAGACTGCAGGCCATTGCTCCCAAACACAACCAGAAGTCTAGGGTCATACTTCACCCTTGTGTCCTGAATGCCAAGGGGCCACCACTTCACATTCTTGTCTCCGCATACACGTCACTCCACCACACCTCTCTCAGTGCCACTCCCTCCGCCACAGCTTACTCCCTGCCTCACGCCGTGAGCATCTCCTTGATCTCCCCACTGGTTACTCAGCACATGGGGCCCAGAGAGTGGCCGGCAAATTCTAACACCATTCAGTATTACCCCAGATCAGTCGGTTTCCCATGCTGCAGCCACCAGGAGCCTAAAAGACCTAAGCCAGATCACCTCCCTATTCCACTCCAAACCTCCTATTGTTACTATTAAGTAACGAATAGATAGATACTCAACTTCTCAGGGAACTATTCCAGGTCTGACTTCTACCCCTCTGTTCACTGAATAAGAAAAGAATTGTCGGTTCCTGAACCATCTCAGCCTCCTCTCCAAACCTTTGCATATACTGATAACTATGCCTTGGACAACCTTCTACATCTCCAGCTGCCAACAACTTCATATAATCTGACCTGGACTTAGGACACTGGGCTTGTATCTGCTCAACGTCCCAGGACCCAAAAGTGGTGGGAGAGCAGATCAAGAGCACCACTTGTTCAGAGACTATAATGGGTGAACTGAGGACCAGTCACAAACACCACTCCCCAGTTAAGCTCCATAAGCGATTCTACAGTTATGGGAATCTACAGAAACAGAAAAGCCACGAGAGTCAGGAACCACCACTAGGTTCCACAGGCTCAGTGGAAAAAGCCACTTTTGGAGCCAGGTGGCCTGGGCTGCCTGCACTATCTCTGCACCTCAGTCCTCAGTGCTGACTTTACCAGCTGTGTGAGCTTGGACAAGAACTCAATCTTCCCGTGTCTAACTACTACCACCTCTCTGCAGCCTGCTCTTCCCCTGAGCAACGTTTGGAAAGCGTTAGGAAATCCGAGCCCAGTGTCCCTATCTGTTCACAACCCTCCAAGGCTGCCAGTTTCCTCAGAACGGTCAAATTCCTCAGGTGCAATTCTGCCTCATTCTTTTTTTTTTTTTTTTTTTTTTTTGAGACGGAGTTTCGCGCTTGTTACCCAGGCTGGAGTGCAATGGCGCGATCTCGGCTCACCACAATGTCCGCCTCCTGGGCTCAGGCAATTCTCCTGCCTCAGCCTCCTGAGTAGCTGGGATTACAGGCACTCGCCACCACGCCCAGCTGATTTTTTGTATTTTTAGTGGAGACGGGGTTTCACCATGTTGATCAGGATGGTCTCGATCTCTTGACCTTGTGATCCACCCGCCTTGGCCTCCCAAAGTGCTGGGATGACAGGCGTGAGCCGCCGCGCCCGGCCAATTCTGCCTCATTCTATGTTCCTGCAGACACGAGATGGATCCCAGGCTCCCGAATCCCCCCGGCTTAGCTGCGACCCCAAGCTCTGCACGCGCCAGGGCCCCTCCCTGCCCGTCACGTTTCCCTACACACTGCGCGTCATAAACGGGCCCCACCCACAAGCGCCTTCCTTTCCCGGGCACCGCGGCCTGGGCTGCAGGGCTGTGAGCAGACGCCCCTCCTGGGCTTTAGGACTTTTGTTGGGAGAGGGCGGGCGAGACCCGAGGACGCAGCACTCACCTGAGCCGGGTCCCTCATTGTGAACGCCGCCATTGAGCTCTGTCGACCAGGCGGGGAGCGGCGGGCGACCGGGGCGGGCCTTCGAACACAGCGGTCCCTATCCCGGGCTTGACACAGCTCACCCGGCGTGGCGTCGCCGAGCCTCAGACTTACTTTCGCGCCTTCTCTGTACCGTGTCTCAGTCGCGACCCCCGCTGTGGAGGTTCTGTTGGGATCGACAAACAGGAGAGAAGCCAAGAAAACCGCCGCGAGGAGAACGCCGGAAGTTCCGCTCTGTCGTCCTGCACATGCGCGGAAGTCCGCCTATCCTTGTTTCTCATTGGCTCAACTTCGCCGCCATTTAGCGATCTCTGCTCTGGGTAATGTAGTTTCGTCAACTCCGCAGAGCTCTCCGGAGTCTATCCACTACTTTGACTTTTTTTTTTTTTTTTTGAGATGTCCATTGCAACTTCTTTTTTTTTTCTTTCTTTTAACTACATCTGAAGTTTATTGTAACTTGTTTTTTGTTTTTTTGAGACAGTCTTGCTCTGTCACCAGGCGCCAGGCTGGAGTGCAGAGGTACAATCTCGGCTCTCTGCAATGTCCGCCTCCTGGGTTCAAGCAATTCTCCTGCCTCAGCCTCCCGAGTAGCTGGGACTACAGGCGCGCGCCACCTGCCCAGCTAATTTTGTTTGTATTTTTTAGTAGAGGCGGGGTTTCACCATCTTGGCCAGGATGCTCTCGATTTCTTGACCTCGTGGTCTGCCCACCTCGACTTCCCAAAGTGCTGGGATTACAGGTGTGAGCCACCTCGGCTGGCCCCATTTCTTTTTTAAGGAAAGGATATTGCCGGGCGCGGTGGCTCAAGCCTGTAATCCCAACACTTTGGGAGGCCGAGGAGGGTGGATCACGAGGTCAAGAGATCGAGACCATCCTGGTCAACATGGTGAAACCCCGTCTCTACTAAAATACAAAAAATTAGCTGGGCATGGTGGTGCATGCCTGTAATCCCAGCTACTCAGGAGGCTTAGGCAGAATTGCCTGAACCCAGGAGGCGGAGGTTGCCGTGAGCCGAGATCGCGCCATTGCACTCCAGCCTGGGTAACAAGAGCGAAACTCCGTCTCAAAAAAAAAAAAATAAATAAAAAATAAAGGATATCAACATTATGGATTCATTAATTTATTCAACAGAAATTTATTGGTTATTGCAAGTGTTCCACTTTCCCAACCACCTAGAATACTTTAGTGAACAAAACTGATAAATTCCATGCTCTGCTTAGCCTTACATTTTAATGAAGCAGGACAATAAATTGAAAGCATAATCAGGAAATCATATCTTCTATTCTATGGAAATATACATCCTTGCATATGTATTTATACACATTACATCCGACCAGCAGCTTAGGAAGCTTTTGGTGTGGAGGGAACACTTGGCAGGCTAATTTTCTCATGAGTCCTCATATGGCGGTGGTACGTGGATGACTGGCGGTAGCTCCTCTTACAAAAGGGACATGTATAGGGCTTTTCTCCTGTGTGGATTCTCTCATGAGACTGCAAGTTGGTTTTGTGGCTGAAGGACTTTTCACACATGCGGCATGTGAAAGGCTTCTTTCCCGTGTGAATCATCTGATGCACGCGTAGGTCTGATGTCTGGAAAAAGCCTTTTTTACACTTAGGACAAACAAACGGCCTCTCATTCCTGTGTCTTCTCTGGTGAGCTAATAAGTGAGAGAGATACCTAAAGACCTTGGGGCATTCCTCACATCTGTATGATTTTCGAACTCCATGGGCTCCTTCCTGATGTACCCCACGAGTGTAGTTTCCCTCATTGCTTTGGTGGGTGGGGGCATACTCAGGGGAGGACTGCTCTGGCTTTGGGATAAACCCTGGTCCCATCTCCATAGGGACAGCTTGAAAAGAGATTCCGTTTATGGACCCTTCCTGGGATCTAGCAGTGCCTAGCTCTCCTCCTCTTGAGTTCCGTGGATTCTCACAAGAAACACCTCCCTCTTCAGGCCTAGGACCATTCTCTTCCTGGATAATGATTAGGGAAGCTATTTGATTGCCTTGATTAGTAATATTTTTGTTTATTTGAGTAGTTTTCAAAGAACTGTTGCTGCCATCTTGTTCATCTTCATATCCTGTGAAAATAGACACTCATTGAAGTTGTACTCAAGAAGGAATCTGCATAGAACATCCCTCAGTTGTGCAGATTCACCTGACTCACCTTGTCCTGTTTCCAAGGAAGTATCTTGGGAAGTCTGGAAGGGTGTCCCCATGTTTGCTTCTCTTGGCGTTTTGGCAGACATTTGTTTTGTGAGGTGAACAATGACATCTTTTAAGGGCATATTCTCAGAAAACAGAGCTTCCTGTCCCTGCATGTGGACATGGACCTGTAATAAAAACCAGATCACTGTTGTATCTGAATCTGTTGTGTAACAGAAGATTTTTTGGAAAACTGGCCCTAACAGGCTCTCACAAGCTCCCTCAAGTATCGGCTACCACATACTTTTGTCCCATCCTTATCTCTGATGGTGTTATCCACAAGTCATATGGATATTGAATAAAGTCACATGGATGTTGAATTCGCCAATCCTGAATCATTTCCCCTAGGAAAAATTCAGGGTTAGTTTCTTGTGAGATTCTAGCATTATTTTTGTCAATGGATCAATACATGAGTTTGTTGTATGTGTGTGCATGTTCAAAGATACCTCATTTAATACATATTCTTTCATAAAGGAGAGCTCAGACAAATAAAAAAACCAATAAAGAAAAAAACACAAAAAAATACATATTCTTGATTAGTAAATTCTGAACTCAGAGGATCCAACACATGTATTATCACCATAATATCAACTTTCTTGCTCTTAGGAACACTAGACAGTATTTCAGCATTTTACTTCAGTGTCACTTTAAACAACAAAGTTATCAATAAAAAGCACAAGTGTGAAAATGTGCCACTAAATAGGCTGTGAAAAGGATACTTATTTACACTGTAAGAACCAAAATAGGAAGTGAGGTTGTGGCCTTGTTCAACCCCAACTGGAAACATGCATATCTGAAAATGACTGAGAAGATGCCTCAACTATTTATTTTACAAATAAATTTTAGCAATTTTAGAAATACGGGCTCTGAGAATAAGGATCTACTGTAATTGCTTCTTTAGAATGTCTTTCTTGATTAGGGCTACCTGACAGAAGAACCAGCTCTTGTCAAGACATTTCTTCCTCATCCTTGAGGTCTTCATTTAAATGTCACTTTCATGCCCATCTCACTTGAAGCCAAGGGAGGTGGATCGCTTAAGCCAAGAGTTCAACACTGGCCTAGCCAACACGTTGAAACCCTGTCTCTACTAAAAACACAAAATTAGCTGGGCTTGTTGGAGCATGCCTGGGATCCCAGCTACTCTGGAGGCGGAGGCACGAGAATGGTTTGAACCCAGGAGGCAGAGGTTGCAGTGAGCTGATACATTCCCCTGCACTCCAGCCTGTCCTACATAGTAACTCCGTCTCAAGAAAAAAAAAAAAAGCCAGGCCCAGTGGCTCTCGACTGTGATTCCAGCACTTTGGGAGGCCAACGCGGGTGGATCATGAGGTCAGGAGTTCAAGACCAGCCCGGCCAAGATAGTGTCTCTAGTAAAAATACAAAAATTAGCTGGATGTGGTGGCGCACCCCTGTAATCCCAGCTACTCAGGAGGCGGAGGCAGGAGAATCGCTTGAACCCGGAAGCCAGAGGTTGTAGTAAGTCAAGATTGCACCACTGCACTCCAGAGTGAGACTCTGTCTCAAGAAAAAAAAAAAAAAAAGAAAAAAGAAAAAGAATTTCAATTTCTCGCAGTCTGGCATTATACAGACTAAAATTAATCAAACATCAATATGTTTGGCTTCTATATGTCCTATAGAATAAACAGATATATACCTTTTCTTTTTTCTTTTTTTTTTTTTTTTTTTTGAGACGGAGTTTCACTCTTGTTACCCAGGCTGGAGTGCAATGGTGCGATCTCGGCTCACCACAACCTCCTCCTCCTGGGTTCAGGCAATTCTCCTGCCTCAGCCTCCCGAGCAGCTGGGATTACAGGCACGCGCCACCGTGCCCAGCTAATTTTTTGTAATTTTAGTACAGACGGGGTTTCACCATGTTGACCAAGATGGTCTCGATCTGTTGACCTCGTGATCCACCCACTTCGGCCTCCCAAAGTGCTGGGATTACAGGCTTGAGCCACCACGCCCAGCCGCTTTTTTTTCTTGAGAACTTAGGACATTGAAGATTCTTTGTGTAAATGGTGGGAGCATGTGGGCTAACTAATAACTGGACATGCAATAGCTTCTCTGACTTCCAGACAACTCCATGTGACTATGATTTATTCCCTACTTTCCTTTGTCCCTTATCCCAACAATCAGAACCCTGTACTCACTAAGGCAGGTGGATTAATGCTGTCATCAGTCAGGTTTTCCATGAATCTCTCCAAGTTTTTGCCACTTGATTTCCACTTCTCTTTCACACTGGCCTTGTCGTTGCAGTAGCCACCAAGCATAAACTGCTCCAGGACTAATAGAGAAATAATTTCATCCTTACTGTGCTTTTCTGGTTGCAGCCATGAATGAAAGATCCTATGAAGTCTTTGCAATTCCTGCCTTGCGTGTGAATTATTGCTGTCTTGCAATGAATGGAGCACAGTTCTTGAGAACTCAGAAATCCCTTCTTCTGTCTGAGCAGTAGGTCTTTGGCTTTGTGGAAACTCTGAATTTCCTGATCTAAGATCATTCTCAGATGGTTCACATTGAAATAAGATTCTTTGATCTAAAGCCATTTTCATCAATTCTCAGAGAGACTTAATTTTGATGATTCAGTCTCTTGTCTCTCTGGGAACTGGTTTCAACAATTGGTGGATTCTTTAAAATGGCAAGCTAGAAATAGAAAAGAGATAAGTAATCAATTGCACCACTGGCGTAATTAAAGACAAACAAATCAACCAAAACATTAAGCCTAGATGATTTTACAGATGAATTCTACCAGACATTAAAAAGAAATATAATTGGCCCGGCGCCACAGCACATGCCTGTAGTCCCAGCTACTCAGGAGGCTGAGGCGGGAGAATTGCCTGAACCCAGGAGGCGGAGGTTGCGGTGAGCCAAGATCGCGCCATTGCACTCCAGCCTGGGTAACAAGAGCGAAACTCCGTCTCAAAAAAAAAAAAAAAAAGAAAAAAGAAAAAATCCTTAATGTGATAAATATTTTACAAAGTAATTACAACAAAAATTATTATTAAAAGTTTTCTAGGCCGGGCGCAGTGGCTCAAGCCTGTAATCCCAGCACTTTGGGAGGCCGAGGCGGGTGGATCACGAGGTCAAGGGATCGAGACCATCCTGGTTCAACATGGTGAAACCCCGTCTCTACTAAAGATACAAAAAATTAGCTGGGCATGGTGGCGCGTGCCTGTAATCCCAGCTACTCGGGAGGCTGAGGCAGGAGAATTGCCTGAACCCAGGAGGCGGAGGTTGCGGTGAGCCGAGATCACGCCATTGCACTCCTCCAGCCTGGGTAACAAGAGCGAAACTCCTTCAAAAAAAAAAAAAAAAAAAAAAAAAAAGTTTTCTGCTTGAACTGCTATCTGTGTGAAACATTGGATTACTCCCTAATAAGTGAAATAAGGAAATAAACTATTTTAAACGTATTTATAGAGTCTTGATTTTTGTTTACAAAAAGTATTCAACAAATTTGATGGGAATGTAAATCAGTCAACCTCTCTGGAAAACAGTATGGAGATTTCCCAGAGAACAGAAAACAGAACTATCATTTGATACTGCAAACGGACCACTGGGTATCTACTCAAGAGAAGAAGTCATCATATAAAAAAGACACTGGCACTCGTATTTTGACTGCAGTGCTGCTCACAAGAGCAGAGTCATAGGAGCAGCCTAAGAGTGTCCCAGTGGTTGACTGGATCAAGAAAATGTGAAATACATACTATGGAATACTACGCAGCCGTAAAAGAATGAAATCAGTCCTTTGCAGCAACCATAGATGGAGCTGGGGGCAATTATCCTAAGTAAACTAACTCATGTTCTCGCTTATAAGTGGAAGCTAAACAGTAGTTACACATCAACATGGGATGGAAATAACAGACACTGGGGACTCTAATGGGGGGGGATGGGAGGGAAATAGGTATTGAAAAATTATCCAATGGGTACAATGTTCACTATTTCAGTAATGGGTACACTGGAAGCCCAATTTCCACTAATATTAAAAATACTTTTATAACAAACATGCCCATGTACTCCCTGAATCTAAATAAAATAAAATATTCAACAAATATTAGCCTAGGTGAATTTAGTGAGGTGCCTATTACAATGCCATTATGCCAAAATGAACTCAATTTTTAAATATTTTGTTATCACAAGCGGTTATAATAATTAATAATAAAACTCTTCTCACTGTGGCTCATGCCTGTAATCCCAACACTCTGGGAGGTCAAGAGATCGGGACCATCCTGGTCAACATGGTGAAACCCCGTCTCTACTAAAAATACAAAAAAAGTATCTGGGCACGGTGGCGGGTGCCTGTAATCCCAGCTACTCGGGAGGCTGAGGCAGGAGAATTGCCTGAACCCAGGAGGCAGAGGTTGCGGTGAGCCGAGATCACGCCATTGCACTCCAGCCTGGGTAACAAGAGTGAAACTCCGTCTCAAAAAAAAAACCTAAGTGGCTTTCGCCTGTAATCCCAGTGCTTTGGGAGGCTGAGGTTAGCGTATCACTTGAGACCAGGAATTCAAGACCAGCCTGGCCAACATGGTGAAACCCCACCTCTACTAAAAATTCAAAAATTAGCCAGGTGTGGTGGCTTGCACTTGTAATCCCAGCTATTCAGGAGGCTGAGACATGAGAATCGCTTGAACCTGGGAGGTGGAGGTTGTGGTGAGCCGAGATCATGCCACTGTACTCCAGCTTAGGTGACATAACAAGACTCTTCCTCCAAAAAAAAAAAAATACTTATGGGCCGGGCGTGGTGGCTCACGCCTGTAATCCAAGCACTTTGGAGGCCAAGGCAGGCGGATCACCTGAGGTTGGGAGTTCAAGACCAGCCTCACCAACATGGTGAAACCCCATCTTTAAAAAACATAAATTAATTAAAAAAAAGATAATTGTGTGAGTTGATGAATATGTTAACTAGCTCGATCATTTTCCAATGTATACATATATATAGAGAAAAATCACGTTGTACACCTTAAACATATACAATCTTTGTCAATTATACCTCAGTAAAGCTAGGGAAAACAAGAAAAAGAGAAAGAAGGGAATGAAATGGAAAAGACAAGCCGGAATCCATACAAACGACATCTTTCTCTGGCTGAAAACTTATTAGCCACAGACCTCTACAAGGCCACTAGCAGCTACACCTGCTGCGCTGTGAAAGGGTCCACTCCTCAGGAAACATTCTTGGCACCATTACTTTTGAACAGTTACCATTCCTTAGCACTTCCCTGCTTTAACCAAAGCTACAATTTTATGTTTATTTTTACTACCTGTTCTTTCCCACTGATGTTTAGAATTCAGAAGTAAATTGAGTTTGCATTGCTTGAAATTGATTTCTTTTCTTTTTTTTTTTTTTTGAGACGGAGTTTCGCTCTTGTTGCCCAGGCTGGAGTGCAATGGTGCGATCTCGGCTCACCGCAACCTCCGCCTCCTGGGTTCAGGCAATTCTCCTGCCTCAGCCTCCTGAGTAGCTGGGATTACAGGCACGCGCCACCATGCCCAGCTAATTTTTTGTATTTTTAGTAGAGACGGGGTTTCACCATGTTGACCAGGATGGTCCCGATCTCTTGACCTTGTGATCCACCCGCCTCGGCCTCCCAAAGTGCTGGGATTACAGGCGTGAGCCACCACGCCCGGCTGAAATTGATTTCTAATCCCAAATCACATTACCTGGGCAACTACAGACACACCATTTGGAATGCTGAACGGATCAAGAATTTAATCCCTTTTCTGTTCATATATTATTGCCATTTTTGTGTTTTTTTTTCTTCAATTTTATATATGGTTAACATTTCAAAGATTTGTGCAATTTCGAAAAAACCAAATTTCATGCCATAAAATCAGAAAATGTGACTGCTTGGTAGGAGTAATACATGGGCACGCAAAAACCTAATTGATTTCTATTTATATTAATGTTATTTCCTGCTTTGTTCCTCTAATCTGGTCTGATTAGACCAGATCTGCCACCCTGATCGCATCAGTTAACGAGGCAGAGGTGATCTTGGTTTTAAAACCTCCTAGGAGAAAAGAGAATACATTTTTGCCTTTCCCTAATCCACTTATCATAATGCTTCCAGTCAACGTTTATAAAATGCTAATCTGCTCATGTCACGCTGGATTTTACACTCTGGATGGCTCCCCTTTGCCGTCAGGGAAAAGCGCGGAGTCCTTCCTTGTACCATAGGCTTTCCTGGGCTAGCTCCACAGTTCTCAAGGCCCATCTTAGGTGTTGTGGCTCGTTCTCTATATCCAGAGACACTGGTCTCTTTCTGTTGTTGTTTTCCTGTGAAACCCATGACTTCCCCTTCATTTCACCTCCCTCCAGGTTCTGTTTTTTTGGATTACCCATCCTTTCTCACTTGGAGACATGCACTCCGTCCCACACAGACAAGGCTGCGAAGTACTATGGCTTATTTCCCAGAACCTGGGAGTACAAAACAAGCCTACCGAACTTCTAGTCTGGAGTTTGGCATTTACAAAGTGTGTGACCCAGGCATGCTACCCATCAGGTCTGCGTCTGTGTCCTGGGGTTTATGATCTCTAATGACACCCAGTTACATACTTCATACAATGCAACAAAAAGGAATTATTAAACTGGGCACAGTGGCTCACATCTGTAATCCAAGCACTTTTGGAGGCCAAAAGTGGACGGATCACTGAAGGCCAGGAGTTTGAGACCACACCGGTTAACATGGCAAAACCCTGTCTCTACACAAAAAATAGAAAAATTAGCCTGGTGTGGTGGTGCGTGCCTGTGGTCCCAGCTACTCAGGAAGCTAAGGTGGAAGGGGGATCACTTGAGCCTGGGGAGGCTGAGGCTGCAGTGAGCTGTGATCTGGGCTACTAAACTTTAGCCTGGGTAACAGAGACCTTGTCTCAAAAAAAAAAAAGAATCACTAGAACATAAAGCCATACAACAGACTTTCCAAAGAGAAATCTTCGGTCATACACATTTCACAACATGAAGCCCTTCGGGGTCAGAGCTGTTGTAACAAAAGACCATTCCCTATGCTCCTAGGAGACCCCCGTATCTCTATACTTAGGACTTTTCCTGAAATAGCTATGCCTACACAGACACACTCAAAGAAACAAAACTGGGAATTTTCCTTCCGTTATGGAAACTTACCTCCTCCTTCATTGACCGGATAAGCCGAGGCTGAACACTGAGCTCATGGGTGACTGGCTTTCCACACTGGGTTTATCTGATGTAGCTTCCTAAGGCTGCTCCCTTTTATAGAGCCTGGGATCAGTGATTGACTTAAATATGTGATTGGATAAGACTTGCCTTTGATTGAATTACTGATGGAATCCTCATCCAGCCACAGCTGCAGGCTATATACCGTCACTGGTCCTGGATCAACAGATTATAAACAAACACATTAATATCTCTGCAGGCTAGGCGAGGCGGCTCACGCCTGTAATCCCAGCACTGTGGGAGGCCGAGGGAGGCACATCACTTTAGGTCACGAGTTCCAGACCAGCCTGGCTAATGTGGTGAAACCCTGTCTCTACTAAAAGTACAAAAATTAGCTGGGTGTGGTGGTGGGTGCCTGTAATCCCAGATACTTGAAAGGCTGAGGCAGAAGAATCCGTTGCACCCAGTAGGTGGAGGCTGCAGTGAGCTGAGATACCACCACTGCACTCCAGACTGGGAGAAAGAGCAAGACTTTGTTTAACAAACAAAAAATTGGCCGGGCGAGGTCGCTCACACCTGTAATCCTAGCACTTTGGGAGGCTGAGCGGGGTGGATCATGAGGTCAAGAAATGGAGACCATCCTGGCCAACATGGTGAAACCCCGTCTCTACTAAAAAATACAAAAATTAGCTGAGATGATGGCACGTGCCTGTAGTCCCAGCTACTCGGGAGGCTGAGGCAGGAGAATTGCTTGAACCCGGGAGGTGGAGGTTGCAGTGAGCTGAGATCGCACCACTGCACTCCAGCCTGGCAACTGGCGACAGAGTGAGAATCTGTCTCAAAAACAAAACAAAAAAACCCTGCAGTCCTAGCCTGAGCAACAAAGCAAGACTCTGTCTCTACGAAAAATAACATAAAAAATCTTATAAAAATAACATAAAAAACGTTAGCCAGGCTGGTCTGGAACTCGTGACCTAAAGTGATGTGCCTACCTCGGCCTCCCACAGTGCTGGGATTACAGGCGTGAGCCGCCTCGCCTAGCCTGCAGAGATATTAATGTGTTTGTTTATGATCTATTGATCCAGGACCAGTGATGGTATACAGCCTGTAGCTGTGGCTGGATGAGGAGTCCATCAATAATTCAATTAAAGGCAAGCATGTACCTTAGCTTGATGCTACAAACAAGCATGTACCTTAGCTTGTTTGAGCCAAGGAGTTCATGGCTTCCGTGGGTTATGACTGCCCCAATTAACTCCAGTCTGGGACACAGAAGGACACCCAGTCTCTAAGAAGCACGCACAAAAATATCTGCAGAAAAATGTAACAACATCCACATGAAATGAAAATATAAAGACAAATGTTAGTCTCACAAATTCTGGTCAAGTTTCACTATAAATTACTCATACAAACAGGACAAACTTTTGCTCACACTTTTAAGTTTTCAGAAATTTATGAATTACCAGGGTGGCAGAGGGCAAGGCTAATGCTCTGTCTCTTTCTGTGCCAATTCCAGGCTGATGAAACAGAGGGGGCTCCAGGACCCCAGAGAAGGAGTTCCTAACCCATCAAAGAGGTGACAGGGGCTGAGACTAGGTTATATCCGTGGAAAGGGAGAAATTGGTGCATGTTTTATATTGAGAAAGCGTATGATGTTTGATAGACTTAATGTGAGGCTTGAGGGAGAGGGAGGAGTTAAAATGGCAAGAAGCTCCTGGTCACCTAGTGTGGTGGAAGCTGTGCTGTCTTCCCTGCACTCTCCCTCCCCACTTTCCATCCTTAAATAGGCTGAGACTTTGGTGGAGTTGAGAATGTATCAAAAAGGTGAGAGCCAATTACAGCCATCATGTGTTTCATCTGCTTCATCAGGCATGTGGCCTCTTGGGGTTTAAATTTTCCCCCTATCACTGTTGGGTACAGAGTTTACATTTCCTGGTCCTTCGTTGATGAAATGTCTGCTTGACTTCCCCACAATGGGAATTACGTTCTGAATCCCCATATTGTAGGACTATGTATTGGTCCATTTCTCCAAGGAGTTTCATCTATGTGTACTCCATATAGAAACGTATCCCTGCTCCCATCAAGAGCTAATTTTTCAGCCGGCCGTGGTGGCTCACGCCTGTAATCCAAGCACTTTGGAGGCCAAGGCGGGCAGATCACCTGAGGTCAGGAGTTCAAGATGAGCCTGACCAACATGGTGAAACCCCATCTTTATTTAAAAAAAGAAGAAGAAAAAGGAAAGAAGAAGAAAGAAAAAGAAGAAGAAGAAGAAGAAGAAGAAGAAGAAGAAGAAGAAGAAGAAGAAGAAGAAGAAGAAGAAGAAGGAGGAGGAGGAGGAGGAAGAAGAAGAAGGAGGAAGAAGAAGAAGAAGAAAAGAGAAGGAGAAGAAGAAGAAGAAGAGGAGGAGGAGGAGGAGCTAATTTTCCACTGGTGCTTTAGGTCCTGTCACCAACTGTGTCATTATACCAACTGTGACAGTACCTAAAGCACCAATGGAAAATTGGCTCTTGATGGGAGCAGGGATAATTCTCTGCTACAACAATGAAAAATATAGCCGGGTGTGGTGGCACGTGCCTGTAGTCCCAGCTACTTGGGAGGCTGAGGTGGGAGGATCGCTTGAGCCCAGGAGTTCTGGGCTGTAGTGCGCTATGCCAATCAGGTGTCTGCACTAAATTCGACATCAATACGGTGACCTAACGGGAGCGGGGGTTAGGTTGCCTAAAGAGGGGTGAACCGGCCCAGGTCGGAAACGGAGCAGGTCAAAACTCATGCTGATCAGTAGTGGGATCGTGCCCACTATGAATAGCCACTGCACTCCAGCCTGGGCAACATAGCGAGTCCCTGTCTCTAAAAAAAAAAAAAAAAAAGAAAAGGAATGTAAAGATTTTGAGTACCACTGGAGGTCAGTTATCAATTTGTGGTGGGATGAAAGAATTTCCTGTCTGCGTCTACAGTCTCGAGGGGTTCCTTCAGCTCTGTAAGGAGCTGTAAGGAAAAGCTTTGGAGGCAAGCTGGCAATTTTTGTTTGGAGGAGGTTATTAATTTTTGAGTGGAGGTATAGAGCCAGCTGTGGGACATGCTGGTGTGTAACTGGGAGCAGTTAGACCTGGGATGTGATGATATCGGTAAGAGGAGTAACAGCATCAGGGATCATAATAACTACCCTTTAAGCAGCGAGGGCACATTTGACTCTGTTCTCAATGTTTTCTGTACATTAGCCCATTTCGACTACAACAGCTGTAAAGGAGATCCTAAACAACTGCATTTTCACATCAAAGTAACAGAGGCACAGAGAAGGTCAGTACCGGGGCCAGTGCTACACAGCCTGTAAGTTGCAGGAGTAGGATTTGATACCCGGCTCGAGTGGGACTCCAAATGCTACATTAAGGAAGCAAAGACCCTGGCCACTGTGTAAAGCCAGCAGCCTTCTAGGGAATGGGCTAATGGATGAGGAAGGGCAGGAGCAGGTGGATTTACCCTTGGGGAACCCAGATGTTAGAGGAAATGACTTGGTGGCACCCAAACTTAGGCATAGAATAAACAGGCACGAACATAATAAAAATAAATGTGAAAGCCACACAATAATTTGATAAAATGAGGATATCACAAAGATGATACATAATATAGAGACTTGTCAAAACTGTGTGCAATTTTATCAAATGCTTTTCTGACCAATTGGGAAGGTGAGTAGTGCTGTCTTTGGTGAAAACAGATGACATGCTTACATCCAGCATCAGCTCAGCTTGTGTCTGGTGAGTATACCTGCTCCAGCGTGAGTGAGGAAAATAACCCGTTTCCAAGAATACGAAGCCAATTTGCCTCAGTATGTAGAAAATAATGATTTCAATTAGAATACAAAAAGAAAAAACTGGTAGGAAAATAAACAAAACTGTTTCTTTCTTTTTTTTCGCTCTTGTTACCCAGGCTGGAATGCAATGGCGCGATCTCGGCTCACCACAACCTCCGCCTCCTGGGTTCAGGCAATTCTCCTGCCTCAGCCTCCTGAGTAGCTGGGATTACAGGCACGCGCCACCATGCCCAGCTAATTTTTTGTATTTTTAGTAGAGACGGAGTTTCACCATGTTGACCAGGATGGTCTCGATCTCTTGACCTCGTGATCCACCCGCCTCGGCCTCCCAAAGTGCTGGGATTATAGGCTTGAGCCACCGCGCCCAGCCATGAGACTCTGTTTAAAAAAAAAAAAAAAAAGGCAAAGTAAAGAATAATCTTAGGTTGGGCACAGTGGCTCATGTCTGTAATGTCAACATTTTGGGAGGCCAAGGCAGGTGAATCACTTGAGGGCAGTAGTTCAAGACCAGCCTGGCCAACATAGTGAAACCCATCTCTACTAAAAATACAAAAATTAGCTGGGCGTGGTGGCTCGAGCCTGTAGTCCCAGTTACATGGGAGGCTAAGGCAGGAGAATCACTTGAACCCAGCAAGTGGAGGTTGCAGTGAGCCGAGATCGTGCCACTGCACTCTGTCCTGGGCAACGGAGTGAGACTCCCTCTCAAAAAACAAAAACAAACAAATCTCTCAGAGGTAAAAATATTTGTATATTTTTACAATCTTGAATAAGGTAAGTTGTTAATACGTATAACAGTGAAAAAAAGCATTTTTTTTTTTTTTTAAAGATGGGATTTCACCATGATGGCCAGGCTGGTCTTGAACTCCTGACCTCAGGTGATCCCCCCCACTTCAGCCTCCCAAAGTGCTAGGATTACAGGCATGAGTCACGGCGCCTGGCCAAAAAAAGGCAATTTTTAATAAAAATGAAATATTAATGAAAAATAATTGCAAATTGAAATCATCTAAATGAGACATTTAAATACATAGAATGTAAAAGATAAAAGTTATCAATCACCTCGATATTGTTAATAGTCCTGTCCTGGCAAATGGCCTCATGCCTGATGTGTGGGGAAAGGAGGTGGTTTAAGAGCCCCTTCGTGGGAAGTCTGACTACAAATCGGGCAGACTTTTGTTAAACCTTCAGGGTTGGTTGTCATGGTGGGCGAGTGTAAGTTTTTAAAAAGTGAAGTATGTGGCAGTAACCCGCATGGAAGTGGTTGTGGATGTGGGAGGGAACAGAGTTCTTGAGATTTGGGCAACATGAGTTTGTTGTCAAGATAACATCAGCCTTCCCTCTGGGTAGCCCCAGTGTTAGTGTGACTTGTTCCTCCTGGGTGTATGAGAAATGTGTGCTGGGAAAATGGGCAGCAGTGATGGGGTACTTTGGGCCACCTGCCAGGCTGCTGAGTCTGCCAAAAAGTTTCCCTTGGCGCTGGGCGTGGTGGCTCACGCCTGTAACCTCAACACTTTGGGAGGCCAAGGCAGGTGGATCACCTGAGGTCAGGAGTTCAAGACCAGCCTGGCCAACATGGTGAAACCCTGTCTTTATTTATTTTATTTATTTTTTGAGACGGAGTTTCGCTCTGTTACCCAGGCTGGAGTGCAATGGCACGATCTCGGCTCACCGCAACCTCCGCCTCCTGGGTTCAGGCAATTCTCCTGCCTCAGCCTCCTGAGTAGCTGGGATTACAGGCACGCGCCACCATGCCCAGCTAATTTTTTGTATTTTTAGTAGAGACGGGGTTTCACCATGTTGACCAGGATGGTCTCGATCTCTTGACCTCTTGATCCACCCGCCTCGGCCTCCCAAAGTGCTGGGATTACAGGCATGAGCCACCGTGCCCGGCCGAAACCCTGTCTTTAAAAAAAAAAAAAAAGTTTCCTTTGGTGACGGCATCTGTAGCTTTCTAGTGCTCCTTGCAATGGATAATGGTGGCCTCTAATGGTAGTTTAGCTGCTTCCAGCAACCTGTAGCAGTTTGCCATTTACCATGGGGGTCCCTTTGGTGGTAAGAAAACCTCTTTCCTGTGAGATTAAGGCTTGGAAGTGTAGAGTGTGGTATGCATACTTAGAGTCAGTGTAAATATTCACCCTTTTTCCTTTCGCTAGGGTGAGGGCCCTGTTTAGGTCAACTAATTCTGCCTGTTGGTGGGTGCTAAGGGATGGGAGAGAAGCTTGTTTTTGGCAATGATGGTGTAGTCTGCTGCAGGACATGGCTCTTTAAAAGAGCTTCCATCTCCTGGAGGTTGAAAAAATAATTTAAAAAGGCTGGGCACGGTGGCTCAAGCCTGTAATCCCAGCACTTTGGGAGGCCGAGGCAGGTGGATCACCAGGTCACGAAATCGAGACCATCCTGGTCAACATGGTGAAACCCCGTCTCTACTAAAAATACGAAAAATTAGCTGGGCATGGTGGCGCGTGCCTGTAATCCCAGCTACTCGGGAGGCTGAGGCAGGAGAATTGCCTGAACCCAGGAGGCGGAGGTTGCGGTGAGCCGAGATCACACCATTGCACTCCAGCCTGGGTAACAAGAGTGAAACACCGTCTCAAACAAACAAACAAACAAAAAACAAAGAAAAAGAGTAAAAAATAAATAAAATAAAAAGCTCCCATCAATGAACCACGTGGGTATCCTCTGTAAGGAGGGCTCTGATATGTGTTGGAAAGGGGAGGAAAGGGAATCTAAAAGGTCCGAGCAGGAGTAAAAGAGTTCAGAATCAGAGATGCTTACAGGGAAGGCTGGGACTACAGGCTCTTTTGTTACCCAGGCTGGAGTGCAATGACGTGATCTCGGCTCAGCACAACCTCCGCCTCCTGGGTTCAAGCAATTCTCCTGCCTCAGCCTCCTGAGTGGCTGGGATTACAGGCATGCGCCACCATGCCCAGCTAACTTTTTGTATTTTTCGTAGAGACGGGGTTTCACCATGTTAACCAGGGTGGTCTCGATCTCTTGCTCGTGATCCACCCGCCTCGGCCTCCCAAAGTGCTGGGATTACAGGCATGAGCCACTGCATGCGGCCCAATTTGGCCATTTCTTAATAAGTCAAACATTCACTTATCCTGTCTCAGGCACTGCACAAGAGAAGTGAAAAACTATATATATGAAGAATTGTACGTTTATAGCAGCTTTATTTGCAATAGCCAAAACTAGATATAACCTAAATGCTCATAAAGAAATGGATAACAAATAGTATATCCATAAAAAATGTACCATTCAGCAACAGTGATCAACTCATATAAGCTTCATTGAAGAATCTCAAAATAATTATGCATCATGAATGAAACTGGAGAAGAAAAGACATTTTAGAAATCAAATCATAGAAAATCATGGAAAATACAAGCAAACCTATTATAAATGAAGGTATAAATCAGTGGTTGCCTTGAGAGCCAGAGAGGGGAGGGAGAGATTAGAAGGCCTGAGGTATACCAGAGGTGACCGATATGTTTATTGTAATAATGACGACATAATGTGTTTTTGACTAGGTCTGGTAACCTTACGTTAACTCTCTTTCCTGATGACCTTGGAGGGACACCTTGCCTCAGTGGGCAGCAAACATTGGTAATCAATGAAACTGACTTGAATTTATTCACAGGATGATGGTAGGTTACAAAGCCACATTCCTGGAAGGACACCTCCCACCCCTTTTTTCTATGCTTGTTTTCCGGACCTGTGCAGCAATGGCCTTGAGGTGGGCATCCCAGAAGGGCTATTGGAATACACAAAACCTTTAGATTGTCATTTTTGACAGTCACCTCAGCTACAAAAAGGACACAAGCCTGGGAATTCTGAGAATGTCTGTACTCACTGACCCTGCAAAATTACTAGAACATATTACAAGGGGAACATTCCACCTAGTTCGCTGCTGTCTCCATCAGTCCCTACTAATCCACATCATTGGTTTCCGTACTGATTATGGTTCCCCCATTTTACAGAGACAGTCGCCGACTAAACTGTACTGGGGCACTTGGCTCCTTGGAAGGACCTGGGGTAGACTGCCTCAACAGTGCTGGTCATTATAATGACCCCTGTGGACAAGAACCAAAGTTATCTTGTTCCCAGAAGCACTGGCGTTTGTCACAACAATTTCCCACTTCCTCAGGGTGTCCTTTGAGCCCACAATAAAATCCTGGCATCCAGTCCACAAATTAAGACGTAAAACCCTGCAGTATTTCCTAGGGAGCCTTGGGTAATAATTCAGATTCAAATTAGGCAAAAGCTGGAAAGACAGCTGTATTTTTCTGTTATGCTGTTGCCTCCGAGGCATACAAATAATGTGACAACTCCCCCTCCAAAGGTGTTTCCTCTAAAGCTGGCAGGGCCTAGTTCTGTTTTGGAACTACCTCAACAGTGAATAACACACCAACGTAAAGGTAGCTTACTTAATAATGCCTTTATTATTGTAAAAAACAAAGCACGGTGACGTAAGCAGTTCCCAAGCTGGTGACTTAGAGGCTGGAAAAAAAAAATCCATGGATGTGTCACACGAAACCAACATTGTCCTGAAAAAGATCGTCCTTCTTGGCAAGCTGCCAACAACACTCATACTGGGTTTTCTGGCACAAAGCTGAGTCAAAGTATCTAACTTCTCAGACAGGAAGACTCAGACTATTCATGATTTCTGCTAGCAAATGGGGAGAAATACAAGTCTGCTTTTTTGAGGAGGTTAAGGTGATAAATCATGCACACTGTGTGGACCTCATAGGTGGTAGACGTGATATGGCTTCTGTCTCAGAAACTGTCAGTGACATAAATGGCAGGTGAGAAAGTGTAACACCTTCTAAATGGTAGATCAGAAAGTATAACACGTACCTGGAACTTAAGGGGAATCTGCCCACTGTGTATATTCAGATGTTGAGGCTTCCAATTCAGGTACACGTTTCTCTCAAAAAACAGATGTACTCTTCCAGTAAAATTACACTAAAAGAAAACTGCATATTCTCGGTTCAGCTACGGCGTTTCCCCAGTGTGAACTCTCTGGTGTTGAATGAGAACAGATTTGCAACCAAAGGATTTCCCACATTCACTGCACTGATAAGGCCTTTTTCCAGTGTGTACTCTCCGGTGTTGAATGAGGCTAGAGCTCTGGCTAAAGGATTTCCCACATTCACTGCACTCATAAGGCCTTTCTCCAGTGTGAACTCTCAGGTGTTTAATGAGGTTAGATTTACAGCTAAAGGATTTGCTACATTCACTGCACTCAACAGGCCTTTCTCCAGTGTGAACTCTCTGGTGGTTCTTAAGGTTGGAACTATGGCTAAAGGATTTCCCACATTCCCCACACACATAGGGCCTTTCCCCTGTGTGGACCTTCCGATGTGAACTGAAGCTGGAGCTCTGCTTAAATGATTTCCCACATTTACTGCATTCATAGGGTCTTTCTCCAGTGTGAAGTCTCCGGTGGTGAATGAGGCTGGAGCTTCGGCTAAAGGATTTTCCACATTCATTGCACTCGTGAGGCCTTTCTCCAGTGTGAACTCTCTGGTGGTAAATGAGGCTGAAGTTTTGGCTAAAAGATTTCCCACATTCGCTGCATTCATAAGGCCTTTCGCCAGTGTGAACTCTGTGATGCTGCATGAGGTTAGACCGTTGGCTAAAAGATTTCCCACATTCCCCACATTCATAAGGCCTTTCTCCAGTGTGGACTTTCCTATGGCTATTGAGGCTATAGATCTGACTGAAGGATTTCCCACATTCAGGGCACTCAAAAGGCCTTTCTCCAGTGTGAACTCTCTGATGTATAATGAAACTGGAGTAGTAGGTAAAGAATTTTCCACATTCATTGCATTCATAAGGCCTTTCTTCACTGTGGACTTTCTGGTGCTGAATAAGGTTACATCTTCGTGTACATGCTTTCCCACATTTGTTGCACTCAAAAAGCCCTTCTCTGGTGAGGATTCTCTGGTCCTGAACAAGGGTGTCTGTGTGGCTAAAGGCTTTATTGCATTTTCCCCAGTTGTGATGATTTTTTCCACTGTCAAAGGCCACCCCACACTTGTTACTGTTATTTGGCTTCTCCGCTGTTTGAGCGGCCTCTAGATGGAGAAACCTCACGTTGGCCAGGAAGCCTTTCTCAAACTCCCTGCAGGGGAAGGGCTTCTCTGACACATGGAGTGTGCAGCTCTGTGTAAATGAGGCTGTGTCCACGTAACTTCTGAAAGGTGCTTCTTTAATGTGCTGCCTCTGGTGCTGCTGAAGATCTGCACTGATGTACAATTGTTCTCCACAGGTGTGGCGTTTCTGCCCACAGTTTGTTCCTTGGTGTTCGGCCAAGTGCAAAATATCTCTCAAGACCAAGCCACATATCTCACAGGAGTAGGCATTCTGAGAAGATGAACCTTCTTTGGAAGTTCTGAACTGTGGCGCTCCTTTTAAAGAAATTCTCTGTAGAACGTCTGTACCCACTGATGAGGAAGGTGCTTCCTCATGCTCCAATCCACACCAATAACCTAAAAGTAAAGAGGTCATGGTGAAGTACATGTTATCTTTATTAGGAGGAGGAAATGAAACCTCAAATCCATATCAACGATAGCAAAGAACCAGTAACATGGGGCTATTCTCAGGAAAAGTGAGTTGGGGGTCAGGTTGAGGAAGCAGCTGTTGTGCATGACTGGTCCCTAAGTTCACTGAATAGGGTAGGGTAGGCCCTACCAGGTACAGTGCACAAGGATAAGGTATAGCCCAGAATTAAGAGGCGTGTTGTACAATGAATTCCTCTGATAACAGCTTTTAGTGAGATCATATCTGCTGGTGACAAGTGATGCTGTGAAGTGTATGTCCAGACCCAGGAAAATCTCACTGGGACAGTAACTGGTGTTCAGGGACTATTAAGGGAGATATGCACCCTTATATATCTGGACTACCCAATAATATTAGAGAACGCTACAGAAGGAACACTGTGAAGAACAGGCGGGATAGAGTCCAGAGAAGTGAGGATTAGCCCTAGCTACAAGACAAAATAAAAATGACATGTGGTAGAAATAACAAGTTTGTAAACTGTTAAGAATGAAGACTAGCTGGGCGTGGTGGCTCACGCCTGTAATCCCAGCACTTTGGGAGGCCGAGGCAGGTGGATCACGAGGTCAAGAGATCGAGACCATCCTGGTCAACAAGGTGAAACCCCGTCTCCACTAAAAATACAAAAATTAGCTGAGCACGGTGGCCTGCGCCTGTCGTCCCAGCTACTTGGGAGGCTGAGGCAGGAGAACTGCCTGAACCCAAGAGGCGGAGGTTGCGGTAGGAGATCGCGCCATTGCACTCCAGCCTGGGTAACAAGAGCGAAACTCTGTCTCAAAAAAAAAAAGAATGAAGACGACAAGGTCGAATCGAGGTGTTTCCGGCAATGGCATCAAAACAAGTCAAACAGGACAGGTTCCTGGTGCAATTCAAACACAGACCTGATAACATGCCTTTTCCCAAGTGCCATTCATCTGGGTCAGGCCCTCTCTAATCCCGTCTTGCTGAGTCTGGAGTCACGAACATCCTGTGAAGAACAGAGGACACTTCCCCTAGCCCTAGTTGAGCAACTACATGAGACTAGGATGATGTAAGTCCTAAGGGAAAGACAGGACACGTAAGCAAGTAACACCGGCCCAGAACAACTCAGCACAAAAAAAGAACACAGTAAAGTTAAATTAGTTAAGTTTGCGGCCAGGCGCAGTGGCTCACACCTGTACCCAGCACTTTGGGAGACCGAGGTGGGTGGATCACCTGAGGTCAGGAGTTCAAGGACAGCCTGGTCAACATAATGAAATCACCTCTATTAAAAATACAAAAACTAGCCAGGTGTGGTGGTGTGTGCCCATAACCCCAGCTACTTGGGAGGCCAAGGCAGGAGAATTGCTTGAACTCACAAAGCGAGGTTTCAGTGAGCCAAGACCACACCACTGCACTCCAGCCTAGGAGACAGAGCAAGACTCCATCTCAAAACAAACAAACAAACGAACAAACAAAAAACATTTACAGACCTTAATGAAAAGTCCTGGACCTGATGGCTTCACAGATGAATTCTACCAATCTTAACTAACACATAACCTTTTCAAAATCTCTCAAAAACTGTAGCGCACACACTTCTAACTCATTCTATATGGCCAGCATTACCCTGATTCCAAATGGCACGAAGATAGTATAAGAAAAGAAAGCTACAGGGCCAGGTGCGGTGGCTCATGCCTGTAATTCTAGTACTTTGGGAGGCTGAGGAGGGCAGATAACGAGCTTAGGCGTTCGAGAGCAGTCTGACCAACATGATGAAACCCCATCTGTACTAAAAATACAAAAAAAATTAGCTGGGCATGATGGTGCACACCTGTAATCCCAGCTACTCTGGAGGCTAAGGCAGGAAAATCACTTGAACCTTGGAAGCTGAGGTTGCAATGAGCCAAGATCGTACCACTGCAATCCAGCCTGGGTGACTGAGAGAGATTGTCTCAAAAAAAAAATAAAGAAAGGCCAGGTGTGGTGGCTCATGCCTGTAATCCCAGCGCTTTGGGAGGCCGAGGCGGGTGGATCACGAGGTCAAGAGATCGAGACCATCCTGGTCAACGTGGTCAAACCCCGTCTCTATTAAAAATACAAAAAATTAGCTGGGCATGGTGGTGTGTGCCTGTAATCCCAGCTACTCAGGAGGCTGAGGCAGGAGAATTGCCTGAACCCAGGAGGCGGAGGTTGCGGTGAGCCGAGATCGCGCTATTGCACTCCAGCCTGGGTAACAAGAGCAAAACTCCATATCAAAAAAAAAAGAAAAAAAGAAAACATAGAAAGCTACAGACCAATATCCTTGATGATTATTAACGCAAAGCCATCAATCAAATACTCGTAAATTGAATTCAAGAGCATATTGAAAGGATTTTGTACTAAGAACAACTAGAATTTATTTCTGGAATGCAAGGATAGTTCAACAAACAGATACTGATCGAAGTGGTGGCTTGCACCTGTCATCCCAGCTACTTGGGATTCTGAGGCAGGAGGATCGCTCGAGGCCAGGAGCTTAAGACCAACCTGTGTAACACAGTAAGACCCCATCTTTAAAAACATTAAAACAGTCACCTCAGCTGATACACTAAAAGCATTAGACAATATGCGACACTTTTTTTTGTGAGGAAAACACTCATGAAAACAGGAATAGGATGAATTTACCTAAACATAATAAAAGTCATATGCAAAAACAAAACAAAACCCACAGCTAAAATTATACTCAACAATGAAAGACTGAAAGGTTTTCCTCTAAGAGAAGGAACAACATAAGGATGCCCACTTTTAGCACTTCTGTTCAATGCAGCGATTAGGCAAGAAAAAGAAAGAAAAGGGACCAAAATGGGAAAGAGGAATGAAATTATCCCTGTTCACAGATGATAAACATGAAATACCATAAAGATTCCACCAAAAAACTGTTACAATAAACAAACTCAGCAAATAGAAGAATACAAATACAACATGCAAAAATCAGTGACATTTCTATACATTAATGATGAACAATTTGGAAAGTATACAGTTCCACTTACAATTACATCAAAAAGAATAAAACATTAAAGATTAACTTACCCAAACAAGTTAAAGCCTTGTGCACTGGAAACTACAAAATATTGCTAAAATGAGGGCTGAGTGTGGTGGCTCACACCTGTGATCTCAGCACTTTTGGAGGTCAAAGCGGGCAAATCATGAGGTCAGGAGTTCAAGACCAGCCTGACCAACATGGTGAAACCCTGTCCCTACAAAAAATACAAAAATCAGCTGGGCATGGTGGCACATGCCTGTAATCCCAGCTACTCAGGAGGCTGAGGCAGGAGAATTGCTTGAACCCGGGAGGTGGAGGTTGCAGTGAACAGAGATTGTGCCACTGCATTCCAGACTGGGTAACAGAGTGAGACTCCATCTCAAAAATAAAATAAAATAAGATTGCTAAAATTAATTAAAGAAAACATTAATAAATGAAAATACATTACGTGCATGTTCATGGACTAGAGGGCTCAATATTGTTGCAATGTCTATACTAGTCAAAGTAATCTATAGAAAAGATGATACCTATCAAAATCCAAATGACATAATTTTGCAGAAATAGAAAAATCCATCCTAAAATTTATGTGAAATATCAAGAGACACAGAATAGCTAAAACAATCTTGAAAAAGATGGAAGTTGGAAGACTCATACTTTGTAATTTCAAAACTTATTGCAAAGCTATGGAAATTAAAACAGTGTGTTAGTCCCATAAAGATATACATATAGACCAATGGACTAGAAGAAACCCCAGTAATAAACCCTCAAATATCTGGCCAAATGATTTTTTAACAGAACGTCAAGACCACTCAATGGGGAAAGAAGACAGATTTTTCTTTTTTTTTTTTGAGATGGAGTCTTGCTCTGTCACCAGGTTGGAATGCAGTGGTGTGATCTTGGCTCACTGCAACCTCTGCCTCTTGGGTTCAAGCAATTCTCCTGCCTCAACCTTCAGAGTAGCTGGGTTTACAGGCGCACGCCACCATGCCCAGCTAATTTTTGAATTTTTAGTAGAGACGGGGTTTCACCATGTTGGCCAGGATGGTCTCGATCTCTTGACCTCATGATCCGCCTGCCTCAGCCTACCAAAGAGCTGGGTTTACAGGCGTGAGCCACCGCACCCGGCGAAGACAGATTTTTCAACATATGCTAGGAAAACTGGGTATCTACATGTGAAAGAATGAAGTTGGACCCCTAGCTGACATCACATATGAAAGTTAATTCAGAATGAATCAAAGATCTGAATGTAAGCACTAAAACCATAAAACTCTTAGAAGAACACAAGGTAAAAGCTTCATGACATTGGACCTGTCAATGATTCCTTGGATATGATATAAAAAGCACAGACTTTTAATATCATATACAAGTAAAAGTAAAGCAGTAAAACTGAATTCATCAAAATGAGAAACGTGTGCATCAAAGGATCCTATCAACACACTAAAAAGGCAACCCACAGAATAAGAGAAAACATTTACAAATCACACATCTGATAAGGGAATATGCGGAACACACAGATCACTCTTACAGCTCAATAAAAAGTTATACTTATATTGATAATTAATAAAACCCAATTTAAAAACAGGCAAAGGACTTGAATAAACAGTATCATTCAAAGATATACAAACAGCCAATCAGCATATGAACAGATGCTCAGTATCAGTAACCTGCAAATCACCACAATGAGGTACCACTTCACAGCAATTTGGATGACCTATCTGTACACCCATGTTCACAGTAACATGATACACAGCGGCCAGAAGGTGAAAACCACCTGTGTGTACTGATGAAGAAATGGATAAACAAGCTGTAATACATATAAAAGAATATTATTCAGCCTTGAAAAGAAGCAATTCTGATACATGTTACAACATGGATGAACCCTCAAGATATTATGCTAAGTGAAGTAAGCCAGGAAGAAAAGAACAAATACTGTGTGATCCCACTCATATGACGTACTTAAAATAGACAAATTCATACCGACCAAAAGTAAAATGGTGGCTGCCAGGGGATGGGAGGAGTATTGTTTCATGGGTACAAAGTTTCAGTTTTATAAGATGAAAAACTTCTCCTACAGAAGGATGGTGATGACTGCACAACAATGTGAATGCACTAAACCCAAGTGAACTGCGTACTTAAAAATGATTAAAACGGTAAATTTTATTATATGTATTTTACAGCTGGGTGCGGTGGCTCACGCCTGTAATCCCAGCACTTTGGGAGGCCGAGGAGGGTGGATCACGACGTCAAGAGATCGAGACCATCCTGGTCAACATGGTGAAACCCCGTCTCTACTAAAAATACAAAAAATTAGCTGGGCATGGTGGCTCGTGCCTGTAATCCCAGCTACTCAGGAGGCTGAGGCAGGAGAATTGCCTGAACCCAGAAGGCGGCGGCTGTGGTGAGCCAAGATTGCGCCATTGCACTCCAGCCTGGGTAACAAAAGCGAAAACTCCGTCTCAAAAATATATATATATATTATATATAATCAAAAATATATATATATATTTACAATTAAAAACAAACAAATACACCTTGGAGGAGGTTTCTATAAGAACAGTCTGTGTAAATAGTGACAATGACAGTAACTACATTTCATGTCACAGTCAAGCACAAATGTCAGGTACGCAAAGCGTGGGAAACCTGGGTGCCACAGAACTAGAAAGTCACCAGACAGGGAGAAGGCAAGTCAGGGGGGATCTATTAGGTTTACTTTAAGACTACTAATTCCAAATCCTTACCCAAGACACTTTTGGGCTGGGACGATAAGGGAAGTAGGCTTGCGCTCAGTCCATAACATCCACCCGGGGAACTGGGGAAGGAAGCAGAGGACAGAGCTGCTCCTGAGGAAAGAAACACAGATCCTAGTCCAGGGCACAAGGGTTGAGTATGAGGGCCTTACCCAGGGAGGACGTAAGTACAAAGTTCTCCAGCATCACATCGAAGTACAGGTGTTTCTGAGTCTCATCAAGGAGATCCCATTCCTCCCAGGAGAAGTACACAGCCACATCTTCAAAGGTCACACTTCCCTGGCATAATAGGGATTGATGAAACCATGAACAGTCTCACTTTGGAAGACTCAAAATCCATGTCCCCACACCTTCTCCTCCCAAGCTCCCCAAGTCAGAAGAGACATCAGATCTTGGTGTCATTGATCCCTGCTATCTCTTCACATTCCCATTGGTCACTGTGTTTTCCACTCTGCGTCCTATCAACACTTGCATTAGATAAACCTCCCTCCTCTGATCACAAACTCCAACTTCCTCACAACAGATGCCAAACTTCACAGAAATAAAGGAAACCTGCAGTTCCCTGAACCAGCTCAGCCTCATCTCCAAGGAGTTCCAAAAGCTGGTTCCTACCTGTTCCTATCATAAGCTTTCACACCTCTTTCCATTGGCTGCCCCAGATGGAAACACTGGCCTGGACTCAGGACCCTGAGCTCAGAATTCTCCAGGGTTCCCAAATGAACGGCTGAGAGAATGGTAGGCGAGTCCCATGACAACACAAATCTAAAGAAAATACCTGTGTTTGGGGAGGGAGGGACATTCCAGACCAGTGAGGGGGTGAGCTACCTCCACTTACCTATGTAGGTTCCGAAAGCACCTCTGTAGCTATGGGAACATGTGGAAAGACGCAAGCTTCAGAGGAATGTGATCATGGCAGTGCTCCATGGACACAGGCCTTCCCTGTACCCTTGTCGCATGCCCAGAGCCATGCCAGTTAACTTTGGGTTGACTGTCTAACCTGTGTGCCTCAGTCCTTAGTGCTGCCTCTTACCAGTTTTTGTGGCGTTAGAAAGATACTCAACCACCCTCTGCCTCAGCGTTCTCATCCATCTCTACAGTCTTTTCTTCCACTGAACAGCCTGAAGAGGATTTTTCAAATCCTAACTCAGATGGTATCGCCCGTTTGCCCAACCTCTCTATTGCTCCCGCGGCCTTAAGAATAAAGGTAGAACGATTTATAGTCCTTTGGATATATACCCAGTAATGGGATTGCTGGGTCAAATGGAATTTCTGTTCTCACTCATAGGTGGGTGTTGAACAATGAGAACACATGGACACAGGGAGGGGAGTACTACACACTGGGGTCTGTTGTGGGGAATAGGGGAGGGACAGCGCGGGGGTGGGGAGAGATAGCAGGGGGAGAAATGCCAGATAGAGGTGAAGGGGAGGAAGGCAGCAAATCACACAGCCACGTGTGTACCTAGGCAACTATCTTGCATGGTCTTCACATGTACCCCCAAAACCTAAAATGCAATTAAAAAAAAAAAACATATTCAAAAAAATCTTTCATTAAATAGAAAAAAAAAAAAAAAAAAGAATAAAGGTAGATCTCTCTGAAACGCTGTTCCCTGCAGTAACGACGTGGAGTCCAGGTTCCTGAATGGCCCCTTCTCGGTCGCCCGTCTAAGATCTGGACGCGCCGGTCCTATCCCTTGTCCCCCTGCCCACCACATCGGGTGTCAGAAACAGGGGCCCCACCCGCGAGCCTCAGTGTCCCCGACCCTGAGCTACACAGACGTGAACAGGTGCCCCTCACTTGGGACTTAAGCGTATCGGTCGGGGGAGGCCCGGAGGTCGCTGAGCTCACCGGAGCTGGGTCCGTCAGTGCGGTCGCCATCCGGGTCGGCGGGCGACCGGGCGGGAACCCGAGCACCGCTAACCCGAGGCCGGCCTCGCGGGCGGCTCTGCCCCCGAGTCTCAGACCTGACTCTCGCGCCTTCATTGTCCGTCACTTCGGTCCTGAAGCGGCGCACCAGAGCGGTTGACGGATAGAACGGAACGGAGGGCAGCCAAAATGACCGCTGCGAAGACGCCAGCAGTCCTGCTGCGAGGGGTACGCCCACCCGGAAATGTCTCTGTCTTGGACTTACGTTGGATCAACGTACTGCCGCTCCACGCAAGGCTTTCTGGGTAATGTAGTCTCCTTCATGCTGCGGCGGAAGGGGCCCCGCGAGCAGGCGGCTGGGAGAGCTGGGAAGCTGCGTCTCCCGCCCTCCAGGGCGCCTGAGGCGCTTCGGGTTTTGAGGTCTTGAGTAGGCTGACGTTTGAACAACACAGGTTTGAACTGTGCTGAGGTACAAATCTAACAAAATATGCACAAGATCTATATGAGAAAAACTACAAGACTCTGATGGAATTAATAGAAAATGAACTAAATTAATGGAGAGACATTCATATTTATACATAGGATGACTTGCCAACTTGATCTACAGATTCAGGCAATCCCAATCGAAATCCCAGCAAGTTAGTGAATACTGACAACGTGATTTTAAACTTTATATGGAGGCCGGACGCGGTGGCTCAAGCCTGTAATCCCAGCACTTTGGGAGGCCGAGGCGGGTGGATCACGAGGTCAACAGATCGAGACCATCCTGGTCAACATGGTGAAACCCCGTCTCTACTAAAAATACAAAAAATTAGCTGGGCATGGTGGCGCGTGCCTGTAATCCCAGCTACTCGGGAGGCTGAGGCAGGAGAATTGCCTGAGCCCAGGAGGCGGAGGTTGCGGTGAGCCGAGATCGCGCCATTGCACTCCAGCCTGGGTAACAAGAGCAAAACTCCGTCTCAAAAAAAAAAAAAAAAAAAAAAGAAAGAAAGAAAAAGAAAAGTAACCATTTTTTAAACGTTTATTTTTATATTATTCAAAGGATAATTTGACCAACAAATGTGAACTGGGAAATTTTACTAAAATATTGAAAGAGTAATTAGAAAACTAAACGTGAAAAATGACTGTGCTCTACTATTAATCAAAGTATTGCATAAAATTTATATATTTAAAATTTAGGGGTGGGCGCTGTGGCTCATGCCTGTAATCCCAGCACTTTGGAAGGCTGAGGCAGATGGATCACGAGGTCAGGAATTCGAGACTAGCCTGGCCAACACGGCAAAACCCCGTCTCTACTAAAAATATAAAAAATTAGCTGGGTGTGGTGGCAGGCGCCTGTAATCCCAGCTACTTGGTAGGCTGAGGCAGGAAAATCGCTTGAACCTGGGAGCAGAGGTTGCAGTGAGCTGAAACCACACCACAGCACTCCAGCCTGGGCAACAGAGTGAGACTCCATCTACAAAAAAAAAAAAAAAAAAAAGCAAAAACTTGGCATTTATGCAAAACATATGTTATGATACTAAATAAAGAGTCCCCAAATGGGAGTTAATGTTGTAGCCTTCAAGAAATAAAACAAATTCTGGTCATATTAACCAACACATAATGTAGGTTAATGTTCAATCTGGGCAATGACCCCTTGGAAGTATCGTGTCAGATGAGGGCAGGATGTTTTGAGGCTGCTCCAGTAGTGCTATGGAAGGTGGCAGGGCTCTGGATTGAGGTAATGACAACTGAAATGTTAAAAGAAACATACATTTTACCAGTTATTCAGAGAATTGTCAAACCCCCCTACACCACAGGTTACTTATGCTGGCATCAAGCTAAGCAGGGTTCACACTCACCCACACAAGCAGCAATTTGATAAACTCTAGACACAACTATGGAATCTTGTAGTCAAAATATCAGTGAATTGTGTAGGAGTCCTAGTTTCTCACCAGTTAGCTGAACGGTCGTAAGTTACGTCATTTTGTATTTTTTCCCTCCTTGCTAAATTATAGGGTTTAGCTTCCCAGCCTACTCATATCATTAACTGTGGCATGTATCAGTAGATATCTCTCCCCTTCTCTGCTATGAAATTTAAATGTGTCTTCCTTAGCCAGACACATACACACACACACACACGCACATATGTGCACACGCACATACACATAGACACACACCAAATTCAGCTCTTCACCAAATCAACTGTTAAGAGGATACTGGGAGGATTCCTTGATAAAAAATGGTACTCATTGTCCCTAAACTGCTTTTGCAGACGGCATAGTTTTTTGCATTTTTTTTTTTAAGACAGAGTCTTGCTCTGTTGCCCAGGCTGGAGTGCAGTGGCACAATCTTGGCTCACTGCAACCTCTGCTTTTCAGGTTCAAGTGATTCTCCTGCCTCATCCTCCCTAGTAGCTGACACTACAGTCTCAGGCCTCCAAAACTGGCTGATTTTTATATTTTTTATAGAGATGGGTTTCACCATGTTAGTCAGGCTGGTCTCGAACTCCTGACCTCAAATGATCTGCCCACCTTGGCCTCTAAAAGTGTTGGGATGACAGGTGTGAGCCACTGCACCCAGCCTTGCAGACAGCAGAGTTTATGCTGAACACCTGCTTTCCTTTTATGCATCTGGAATTTTGTTATATGCTAGGCAGAGGACACCTAGGTTATCAGCTCTCAATAAAAACTCTAGGCCCCGAGTATCAGCTGACCTTCCCTGGGAGACAGCGTTTCACACGTGTTTTCACAACTTGCTGGAAGAATTAAACGCGTACTGTGACTCAACCGCGAGAGGATTCTTGGAAGTTTGGCTGCAGGTGCCTTTTCCCTTTGCTGATTGTCCTTATATCCTTTCACTGTAATAAATTAATTATAACTATGTAGGGGCCGGGCACGGTGGCTCATGCCTGTAATCCCAGCACTTTAGGAGGCCGAGCCGGGTGGATCACAAGGTCAAGAGAGTGAGACCATCCTGGTCAACATGGTGAAACCCCGTCTCTACTAAAAACATAAAAAATTAGCTGGGCATGGTGGTGTGTGCCTGTAATCCCAGCTACTCAGGAGGCTGAGGCAGGAGAATTGCCTGAACCCAGGAGGCAGAGGCTGCGGTGAGCCGAGATTGCACCATTGCAATCCAGCCTGGGTAACAAGAGCAAAACTCCGTCTCAAAAAATAAAAAAATAAAAAAAAATATATATACATATACATATATGTGTGTGTGTGTGTGTGTGTGTATAAAACTATGTAACAGTTACAACTGTAATTATGACTATATGCTGACTCCTGTGATTCCCACTGAATTACTGAACCTGGGTTGGGCTCTGACGTCCCACGTTTCCTCGTGGGCATCGCTGTCCTCCTCACACTGGGGTCATTTAACACTGCCACTTTCCCTGGTTTCCTGGAGTACGTGCTGAGTGTGCCAGGGCTGGGGTGTGTGTGCTGTTTCCTCTTCCTCCCAAGAATTTCCCGACGCCTGCTGCCCTGCAGCTTCAAGAGACCCACAGAGAGTAGCCTCTTCCTACTTGGTTGACTTGGTCCACAGCACAGCTTGTCTGTGACCAGTATCTACCTCTTTCTTCTGACATTTCTTGAGGCCTGACTTCAGAATCACAGACACTGACAAGAGTACTACGGGTGGGGACCACAATACTATTCCTGCAAAACATTACCCCAAGATCTCGTAATGTTAATTGTTTTTCCTGTGATTTTTCATGGAGTGGGTCACCCCGATGCAGTGATGACCAGTCACCTGCCCTATCTTTCCTGGAGGATTTTCACCTCCTATACCCCATTGTAGCTGCCAGATTAGAGATGGGAGACAGTCCTAGCAGTCAGCCAGACGACGTTAGTCACAGCAAGGATGTTTGGAGGGCCCAAGTCCCCTGTGAGTGGCAGTTGACGCTGGGGGTGGGTTCATATCATACCAGGATTTGCCCTGTGCACACCACTGTGTGAGGTCAGGGCCAGAGGCTACCTTCAGCCTCTTCCATTTCCCTACGTGTTGATTTTCCTCCGATTTCTGGAAAAAGCTACCTCACACCTCTCTGGCCTCCATGTCTCACCCATTCCTCTCCACTTGTTCTCTCGTAGTGCTCTGTGAAATTGCCATACACTTACTACGGCATGAGATGTGAACATATCCTTAAGGAGGCCTTGACCCCCACCTACATAGTGCATAGTGATCGGATGTTCATTTCATTTCTACCATTGATGGCTCCCTGTCCTATTATCTCATGAAAGTATGTATTTTCTCTCTTCTGACGTATCCAATAGTTTGTGCAGCATTTAGAATGCAAACAGATTATAATATGACCCAAATCTTTTTTGTACAAAAGTCACATGTGAGATACAAAATAAGGTATAAATTTCATAAAGATCCTTTCATTGAAAAGCTTCTATTTTTGAGACAGCATATAAAAGAACTGATTGATTTTAAGGTATCAATTTTTTTTTTTAAGATGTGGTTTCACCATGATGGCCAGGCTGGTCTTGAACTCCTGACCTCAGGTGATCCACCCACCTTGGCCTCCCAAAGTGCTAGGATTACAGGCGTGAGCCACCATGCCCAGCCTAAAGTATCAATTTTATGAGTGTGTGTGTTTTTTTTTAATGAGACACGGTCTCACTCTGTCACCAAGGCTGGAGTGTAATGGTGCAATCATGGCTCACTGAAATCTCGACCAGTTTTATGAGTATGATTTTAAAGAAAAAAGAAAGAACCATATCAGGAGAGCTGTGAGTACAAGTGGTCACATGTATCAGAGTAAAGAATATCACAGACAATGTTATGTTAATAAATTTGAAAATCTGAATGAAATGAACATATTTATCTTATAAAGTAGCTGTTCTTCTTGTATGCCTAATTTTAATATCACTGTTACATTTTTGAGATCCTCTGTCCTGTCAATGTGGTTACTTTCCATTGAGATGTTGTTGATCCACATTTCAACCATTACTGGGATTCCCAAGGTCTACTTTTTGAGGGTGATCAACTTCAACCTAATTTTCATACATACTCTATCCTCTGTTCAACAATTACAGACTCTGATACATTCTGTTAGAGATAAATTTCCCTTCATCGAGTGAAATTACGTAGGAAACCATCACTTCTCCCAGCTACTGTAAGTTAGCAAAATCTGTAGCACTTGAATGATGTTGTTACCAACCACAGGTTCTCAGGGTCTGGATGCAATTGAAATTGTCATGAGGCCAAAGGAGTTTTCCCAGACAAGGCTTTTATTGGAGCTTTTGTCTAGCATAAGGGATGGGATACAACACGAGAGAGTGAGAGCGAGAGAGAGAGAGAGAGAGAGAGAGAGAGAGAGAGAGAGAGAGAGAGAGAGAGAGAGGTGACCCTGGTAGGCTGAACTGGGCAAAGCATGTGAAGGGTAGGGAACGCAAGCCAGCATCTCTGGCTGTGATGGCTATCCTGAGTACACAGCGCAGGCCCAGTGTCCAGAACTGGACCTTTTGGTTGGGCCCCCATTGCTGATACCTGGTGTGATGGGCAGGGGAACCAGCGAGTGCAGAATCTGGAGTGCGACTGAGTGGGAAGGCGGGAGGATATTCAGGAAACCTGGCGTGTCTTGTGTTCACAGAGAACAGGGAGTATGAGGCTGAGCCACACTAGCACTGGTGGGCTGTGAACTTGTACCTTCATTCCGAGGGCTTTGGGGCCCAGAGATAGTTGTGAACAGAAGAGAGACACGGTCTGAATCAGGGTTTTCAGAGTTTTCCAAGAGGCACTCGGAGAACAGATTGGAATGGGGTGATGCAGACAGACAGAGAGGCACAGGAACGTTGGGCCCTTATCCAAGACAGAGGCTGGGAAGAGGTAGCACAGAGTTTAGTCATTCAGCCCAAGGTCACCTGGTCTCTGGGGCTAGGCAGAAGTACAGTGAGCACACTGAAAGAGGTCCCAGCTTCTATGGCCTGCTTCTGCCCACAGGCCCCCATGGCTGAAGAAGCACTCACAGAGCATACACAGGGATCTGGAGGGTGTTCTAGGATCATACTAGTTCCAGCCCCACCCATGTGATCTTTGGGACTGTGTGTCCCGGAATTCTTTGCCTGCCATTCTCTCAGCCCTTGGATTTGGGAACCTGGAAGAAACTCCAAGTCCAGAGAGAAATACGCTAGACTCCTCCCGAGTCCAGGCCAAGGGGTTGTATGGAGGGGTTTCTATTTCTGGCAACAAATGGAAGAGGTATGGAAGGTTATCTCAATAAAAGGCACCAGCATGTGGAATTACATGGAGATGTAGCTGAGCGAGGAATAGGGTACATTAGATCTCCATTCTTCTTTTAAAATCAAAGAACATGGGGCAAGAGTCAGTCTTGGAATGCGACTGCCTGAGAAGTTGGATGTCTATTAGGTTTAGGTCAGAGGAAGGAGGTGACCTGAATTAGGTCTAAACAGGTACCACCTGGATTTAGAGTGGAGAACAGACCTTGGGAGTGACAGAGGAAGGAGGACCTTGGAGGAAGCTACTGCAGTAGTGTACATGAGTGTTGATAGTGTGGACCGGTGTGGTGGGGATAGTGGGGTGAGAAGTGGTTAGATTCCAGATTCGTTTTTTTAAAGGGCTACCTGGATTTTCTGATTTTGAGGATGAGAGAAAAGGATAGGAGTTAGGAATGACACTAAAGTTTTAAACTTATCACATGGTAGAAGGGGGGAAATAAATATTTTAATCCCAGCTAGTTCCATCAACTGAGATGGGATAGTCAGTAGCAGGAGTGATTTTCACTGGAGATATCAGCAGTTTTGGGTTTTTTTTTTTTTGGCCATGTTAATAGTCTTACATATTTCAGAGAGCAAAGGTGTGGTGGCATCAAGTGAGCAGATGGACACACAGGCCTGGAAAACTGGAGAGGGGTTCAGGATGGCGTCATCCAGAAGTGGTGGCTCTTGTGTGGACCGAGGTGGAGCTGTGGATCACATGCAGGAGGGTGATTCAGGCCATGATGGTGCTATTAGAAAGCCAAAAGGAAGAAGAGATCCAAGGACTAGGTCTCCTGCTTGGGCAACTGGGTGGGGGTGGCAGGCATCACAGACACAGATGCAGGAGAGAAGTAGCTGTGAAGGGACTGTGTCTGGGGAACATGGTCTGGCAGGTGGGACGCCTTCCAAGGGAAGAGTAGAAAGGTACAGAGATACTCTTTAGTAGAAAGATCTTATCTTTCTAGCTTACTAAAGAGTAGAAAGAGTAGACAGATACAAAGGCATAGAAGTAATTGAGACAAGATGACACTCAGACGGTGCAGCTGCTTATTCACTACTCTAAAGATTTGCTGGAATTTTGTAGAGTTTTGGTGATGTCCGGAGTGTTTCGTTCTTGCTGGTGGATAAAGTCAGGGTCATTTATGATAGTTATCATGCCTGGCACAGGGACTGATGGGGCTGGGCTTTTAATGAGGATTTAGTGGGAGAGGAAGGGTATGGCTGCTGAGGGGGCAGCAAGTGCAGCACAGAAGTGGAAGAGGGAAGAGTGTTAGAAACTTATACGTGGTTCTGGTTAGCTAATGTTGAAGCGAGAGTCAGAGGTAGGCAGGAAGGCTTTTACGGCAGCATCTGGGGCTGTCCCTGGTGCTGGAAGTTACATGTGGTTCTGGTTAGCTAATGTTGAAGCGAGTCAGAGGTACGCAGGAAGGCTTTCACGGCAGCATCTGGGGCTGTCCCTGGTGCTGAAAATTACATGTGGTTCTGGTTAGCTAATGTTTCTGGTTAGCTAATGTTGAAGCGAGTCAGAGGTACGCAGGAAGGCTTTCAGGGCAGCATCTGGGGCTGTCCCTGGTGCTGAAAATTACATGTGGTTCTGGTTAGCTAATGTTTCTGGTTAGCTAATGTTGAAAAGAGAGTCAGAGGTAGGCAGGAAGGCTTTCAGGGCAGCATCTGGGGCTGTCCCTGGTGCTGAAAATTACATGTGGTTCTGGTTAGCTAATGTTTCTGGTTAGCTAATGTTGAAGCGAGAGTCAGAGGTAGGCAGGAAGGCTTTCAGGGCAGCATCTGGGGCTGTCCCTGGTGCTGAAAATTACATGTGGTTCTGGTTAGCTAATGTTTCTGGTTAGCTAATGTTGAAGCGAGAGTCAGAGGTAGGCAGGAAGGCTTTCAGGGCAGCATCTGGGGCTGTCCCTGGTGCTGAAACTTATATGTGGTTCTGGTTAGCTAAAGTTGAAGCGAGAGTCAGAGGTAGGCAGGAAGGCTTTCACGGCAGCATTTGGGGCTGTCCGTGGTGGTGGGATGCATGAGAGGTCTTGGGTAGTACTGAATCCTGTTTGAATTTGCCAGATACCCTCTGGATGCCTTGTGCTGAGTAACATGGAGTAAGTCTAGGGAGATGACTGTGATATGGGGCAGGGAGGTGGTGGAGCTGTGGGAGTGAAACTATGGGGTCCAGAGACATGAAAGAGGTGCAATCTAAGGAATGATGTGCCTGTGGAAAGGGAGTATGAACTGATGGACCCAGGGCCCCACTGCCGGGGACTTAAGGATGATAGGTGATCCAAGTTGTGTTGTAAGGCATGATAGGGAGGACCCCAGGGAAGTTGCCTGGCAGGAAGGAGCAAGGCCTTGAAGTACAGTCCATGGTACCTCTCTGACATTGGGAGTTTGGGAGGAGGATGGGCATGGAGTAATGTTTGGGGAGACAGATTGTGGGTCCTTGAAAGAGAGACTGTGGGCCAGGTGTGGTGGCTCATGCCTGGAATCCCAGCATTTGGGAGGCCGAGGCGGATCACAAGGTCAGGAGTTCAAGACCAGCCTGCCAACATGGTGAAATCCTGTATCTACTGAAAATACGAAAGTTAGCCAGGCAGGTGGCACACATCTGTAATCCTAGCTACTCAGGAGGCTGAGGAGGAGAATCACTTGAACCCAGGAGGCAGAGGCTGCAGTGAGCCAAGATTGTGCCATTGCACTCCAGCCTGGGCAACAGAACAAGACATGAGATGCCATTAAAAGAGAGAAAGAGAGAGAGAAAAAAAGAAAGAAGGAAAGAAAGAAAAAAGGAAGGAAGGAAGGCAAAGAAAGAAGAGAAAGAAAGAAGAGAGACTGTGGTTTCATCTATTTCCATCATGACACGGCAATGTAATCTTTGAGGACGTGGCTGTATAATTCTCCAGGAGGAATGGGGTCTCCTTGATGAGGCTTAAGAGACATCTGTACCACAATGTGATGCTGGAGCACCTTGTACTTATATCCTTACTGGATAAGGCTCTCACACTCAGCTCACTGTCATGGGCTTGAATTTATCTTTCTGTTCTTCCCCAGGGCTACTCTGTCATCCCATCTAAGCTGTGGGTGCTGCTTTCTTCCTCAGTTCCCAGAGCAGGTGCTGTTGATGATAGGGCTGGGTTGTTTGCACTCCCCTCTTTTCTCCCCTACAGCTCCAAAACCTGCTGCCCCAATGCCTTGTAGGGAAGAATGGGGGTCAGCACTCTTGTAGTGAGACTAATGGAATCCCTCTTGCTTGCCCTCTTCCTGACTGGGTGACTATGTTGAGGTCATGGTATCTTTGTGTTCCAAGGGTTGCTCCCTTCTTCTAGCTGAGTTCTTCATGTCTGCCTGTACTAGAATTGCAGTCATTGATGCATATAGGTGCTAGTTATGTGTGCTAAGACAAATTCCTGTGAGACCCTCATCTGAAGTTCTTTTTTGGTAACATTTAGTTTTCTGTGGTTTGTCATGTGATAAGATGTTCTGGCCTAGTGCTGGTCACTTAACCTGTCCTGTCTTTTCCTTAGGACTTGCATTATCCAAGATCCATGTAATTGCTGAACTGGGGTCAAGGAGAGAGTCCTTTGTGTAACACGGGATGGACATAACTCCAGCCATGGCAAGATGGGCTGAGAGGGCCTGGCCCTGCTGAATGACAGCTGGGCTGTGTTCACATCATACAAGGAACCTGTTCAAACAAGTATTTTGATGGTAGTGCTGGTGGCCACACCAAATTTCTGCCTTTCTTCCCCATTCTTGATACTTTGCCAGCTTGTGTTTACTCTTGACTTCTGCCACCTGGCTTTCTTGCCAACTTTCTGCCTCCATGTGCCACCCATTTCTCTCCTAATTCCCCTGGATAAGGTCAGGGGCAAAGGTGGTCATCTGTGAGAGTCACTATGCCTGGCACAGGAACTAACGGGGCTAGGCTTTAAATGAAGATTTAGTGGGGAAACAAGGATATGGCACCTGTGATCTGCAACTTTGGCCCATACATCATGTTTCAAATGGTATACAAGTATCCTTAAACAGTCCTTGAATACCAGCTACTCATTTGCAATTGGATTTTTCTGCTCTTGGTTAAAACCTTCGGCACAGAATTCACATCACCAAAAACTAAGGCCCTGCTGGAAATAACTCTCAGAGGAGTAAGGTGGAAGCCATGTCTGCTTCTTCTCATTTATGTTGCACCCATCCCTTTCTTGTGTCCTTTTTTTTTTTTTTTTTTGAGATGGAGTCTTGCTCTGTTGCCCAGGCTGGAGTGCAGTGGCGTGATCTTGGCTCATTGCAACCTCTGCCTTCCAGGTTCAAGCAATTCTCCTGCCTCAACCTCCTAAGTAGCTGGGATTACAGATGTGCACCATAACGCCTGGCTAATTTTTGTATTTTTAGTAGAGACAAAGTTTCACCATGTTGGTCAGGCTGGTCTCGAACTTCTGACCTCATGATCCACCCACCTCACCCTCCCGAAGTGCTGGGATTACAGGCATGAGCCACCATGTCTGGCTGTATATCCTTCTTCTTGTGAGGCCTCTTGACTTCTGTAACCTATAAAGTCCCAGTACTGCAAAGCAGCCCCTTCCTCAACGTGATTCCAGCTCCGTTCTGAAAACAATTCCATGTACCCATAGCGGCCTTATACAATTCCATGTACACAAGGTTATGGCCTTTGGTGTGTCAGACGCGTTTGTGATATGGCTGCCTCGTGCCTACAAAGACAGCGTGTACCTCACCAGTATTTGCTTTCAGGTTGTTGGGGTGGAGTGTATAATGACGCACCTTCTCAGCAGTGTGATTCTGTGGGCTCCAAAAGCACACTCATCAGCCCACAAGGCTTGTCCCTGTGAGATGTGTGTCCCTATTACGGAAGATATAACAGGCAGAGCACCAAGGAATACATAGTGGGCAGAAAGTGTACACATGTGGGACATGTGAGAAACAATTCCATTTCAGTGCAAATCTTTACCAACACTAGAGAGAGCACAGTGGAGAGAAATTTTACAGCAAAGACATGGACAGGGCCTCCTGTAGGAAGAGCTACAGAATCTATGCATCGGGAAAGCCCTTCATGTGTGGAGAGGTTGGGAATGGCTCCCTGGCTTATGAGGGCCTTCCTCAGCACCAGGCCACTGCCAAAGAACTGAAGCCACACTGTGGTGTACTGAGTGTGAGGAGGCCTTTCAGACTGACAAATGTGAATGTGGGGAAGCCTTCCACCACAAACATACGCTTGTTCAGCACCAGAGAATCCACACTGGAGAAGGACAGTGTGAGTGCAGTGAATGTGGGAAAACCTTCAGCCACAAGCACACAATTGTTCAGCACAAGACAGTCCACAATGGAGAGAGGCCTTTTGAGTGCAGTGAATGTGGGAAGGCCTTCGGGTTAAAATATAAGTTAGCATCAGCGTACTCACACTGGAGAAAGGCCAAAACGGTGTATTGAATGTGGGGAAACTTTCAGGTACAAACCCAAACTTGTTCAGCACCAGAGAATTCACATGGAGCAAGATGTTATAAATGTGCCGAATATGGGAAATTCTTTTTTTTTTTTTTGAGATGAAGTTTTGCTCTTGTTATCCAGGCTGGAGTGCAATGGTGCAATCTTGGCTCACCAAACTCTGCCTCCTGGGTTCAAGCAATTCTCCTGCCTCAGCCTCCCAAGTAGCTTGGACTACAGGCGCGCACCACCATGCCCAGCGAATTTTTGTATTTTTAGTAGAGAAGGGGTTTCACCATGTTGACCAGGATGGTCTCGATCTCCTGACCTTGTGATCCACCCGCCTCGGCCTCCTAAAATGCTGGGATTATAGGCTTGAGCCACCGCACCCAGCCAAATGTGGGAGATTCTTTACACAAAGTTCAAGTTTTGTTCAACACCAGAGAATTCTTACTGCATCAAGGCCTTACCAATATGAATGTGGGAGATCCTTTAGCCAAAGCCCCATGCTCAGTCAACACCAGAGAGTTGACACTGGAGAAAGGCCTCATGAATGCAGCGAATGTGGGAAATGCTTTAGCCAAACCACAGCCTGATCCAACACCATAAACCACACCAGATAAAGGCTTCATCAATACAGTCAATCCAGTTTGCAGTCTACTGTAATTCAACGACAAAAACCTTACACCCCAGATATTTTCATGAATTTCGTGAATGCATGAAAGCTTTTAGCCAAAGATCTGGCCTTATTCAACACAAGAAATTCCACACGAGAATGGCTTTAGGCCTTCTGGGAGTGTGCGCCTTTTTGTCAATGTGACAGCACTAGACACCCTTTGTGATGGAGTCATCTGCTTGAATTTGAACTTCATACATCTGAACATCCATTTTCAGGAGATTCTCCATGAATTCCAGGTATGTGAGACGTTTTCAGGAGTTGCATTCTGCACTTTAACCTGTCCAGGACTCTTGCCAGAATTATGTGATCGCCAGGTTCTGTCGCAGAAGCCATCTTACCTGTATCACCTGGCAGGTCTACACATCAGTCAGCAGAGCATGCTTAGAGAAGACTAATGTTTGTGTTCTCTCTCCCATCGTCTGGAGGAATCATAGTTTGATCCCTCAGTGGACTCTTACTCTCTTATCTCTCACTAGTTTTGGCCCAAAGGACCTAGTCAAGGTACTCCTGGTGGCTTATAAAATGTTGCCTTCTTCATGGTATTGTTTATCTCACATGGTATTTTTTTATGGATTTTCTAGCCTCCAAGTCATAGACCAACAAACTGCCTGACATTGTTCTGGTCTGTGCAGTAATAAAAATCTAAGTCACGTTTAATCTTTTTTTTTTTTTTTGAGATGGAGTCTCACTCTGATGCCCAGAACTGGAGTGTAGTGGTGCGATCTTGGCTCACTGTAACCTCTGCCTCCCAGGTTTAAGCAATTTCCTGCCTCAGCCTCCCAGGTAGCTGGGATTATAGGTACCCGCCACCACGCCCAGCTAAGTTTTGTACTTTTAGTAGAGACTGGTTTCACCATCTTGGCCAGGTTGGTCATCCAGGCACCTGACCTAAGTAATGTGTAATCTTAAGAGTTCTTGGCTAGGCACAGTGGCTGATACCTGTAATCCCAGCACTTTGGGAGGCCGAGGCGGGCGGAACATGAGATCAGGAGATTGAGACCATCCTGGCCAACATGGTGAAACCCCGACTCCACTAAAAATACAAAAATTAGCCAGGTGTGATGGTGCACGCCTGTAATCTCAGCTACTAGGGAGGCTGAGGTGCGAGAATCACTTGAACCTGGGAAGCAGAGGTTGCAATGAGCTGAGATAACACCCCTGCACTCCAGCCTGGTGACAGAGTGAGACTCTTTCTTAGAAAAAAAAAAAAAATCAGTTCTCTTCACTGTATGTGGTGGGTTGAAAATATAACTAGGTTCCGCCAGTGTGAAGGGGCGAGCAGTTTTTTTGAGAGCCTCAACTTTATGTGCCTCCGAGGGAACAATACGATGTCTTTCCAACCTTGGAGTAAGGGAAGGTACTGAAGAGTGAGTTCAACCACCAGTGACCAGTGATTTAGTCAATTAAGTCTACATAAAAAAGCCTGAATTAAACACCCTTCACCTCACGATTTGGGAAGCTTCTGGGTTGGTGAGCATATCCATGTACTAGGAGGGGGTTGCACACCAACTCTATGGAAACAAGGGCTTCTAAATATGGGATTCTCCCTGACCTCATCTTCATCTGGCTGTTTGTTTGTACTCTTTTATAAAAAGCTAATAGTAAAAATAGCAGTTTCGAGTTCTGTGAGTTATTCCAACAAATTACTAGACTTGGTGAGGGTTGGGGCTGGATCATGAGAACAATTTGTAGTTCACCTGGCAGAAGTGTAGGTAGCATGGAGACCTCATCTGCAGCTGGTATCTGAAGTGAGGACAGTCCTGTGGGATTAAATTCTTAACCTGGTGAGGTCTGTGCTACTGGGTAATTAGTGCTAGAGCTGAATTAAATTTGTAGGTTACCCAATTTTTGTCAGAGAATTGATGTAGAAATGGCAAATTTGGTGTCAGAAAAAAACACATTTGGTGTCAGAAAATGTGGGAATTTGTAGAAGGGCCCTGACTCATAAGTAAACTTGGTTTTGAAAGAGAAAGGATGACAGGGGAAATGAGGAACCTTTAGTTCCTGGATAGCCATCTAATTTTCCATGGTATGAAACTGAATCTTCTCTGTAACCAGTTACTAAAGGCAAAAATTACCAGTAGATTTTAGAAATGGTTATATAGATCCAACTTTCAAGTAGATGGCTCATCGGATACCTAAGGAAATGCAAACAAAACCTGCCAAACATATAATCCTGTACTTAATGTTACCCAAAATAGCTCATTTTTTTTTTTTTTTGATACAGAGTTTCACTCTTGTTGCCCAGGCTGGAGTGCAATGGTGCAATCTCAGCTCACTGCAACCTCCACCTCCAGGGTTCAAGTGATTCTCCTGCCTCAGCCTCCCGAGTAGCTGGGATTACAGACATGCGCCACCATACCTGGCTAATTTTGTATTTTTAGTAGACAGGATTTTTCAGTGTTGGTCAGGCTGGTCTCAAACTCCCGACTTCAGGTGATCCTCCCACCCTGGGTTCCCAAAGTGCTGGCATTACAGGCGTGAGTCACTGTGCCCAGCCAGAACAGCTAAAATTTAAAGAGTGCCAAGTCAGACCATGATGCTTGACCAAGCTCAGACTGTCATTTGTCTGAGCTTCGGCTACTAGGTTCAGAGCCACCCACAAAGGGGAAAAATATACCGGGATAACAGAGAGCACCTCTAAGACCTAACCGGTAAGGTCACAAGAAGGTAGTCCGTGTGAAGGAAGAACAAAAGCAGCAAACCACTGAAACCAGAGGGTATAATGAGAAGGGGCTGTCTTGCTTTTTAGAACAGTATCATCGGTTTGAAGAATCTTTGCTAAAATGAAGTGTGAGAGGGACTGAATTAGGAACGGTATCTTCGGCTCTGAATGCTGCAGAATGGAAAAGCAGGTTTGCGTTGGTATTGGACCCACAGCTAACCTGAGCAATCGCAGGGAGTTTCGCATCACACTGCAGATGGCTATCCATGATCCACACATACAGTGGTTTATTTATGTGGCAACGAACTGCTGATGAACTGTCAGGTATGTCTACTCTGAGAAGGGACACTTCAGACTCCCCGATAAATGCCAAGTGGAACACCCCAGTGGAAGCAGCTGATCCACTTTCTATGCAGGGCCTGTAGGACTGGCTTTATGATGACCAGGATATTCACCCACTGAAAATGTCTGTTTCTCGGATTATGGCAAACGCTGTGAGGAAAGAGGTCGCCTTTGCATGGGTACCCATTGTAATCTTAACTGCTACAAAACTGACCAGTCTGAGAAGCCTTATTGGATTTGTCTCAGGTTCCCTGTGTGGGTCTTATGGATATCAACACCACTGATTAACGTAAGAGGGAGAGAAGCGGGCAGGGCAGGGGGAGCAGAGTCAAGAGACGTGACTTTCGAGTGCAGCAGGATTTCAGTAGTTTCGTGGGTTTCTCCTCCTCTCACATGGGCTACCTTTTTACTGACCAGAGAGGTCTTAGACTTGCTCTCTGTTGGACCCAGGATATTTTTTTCCTTTGGCAGGTGGCTTTAGATCTAGCAGGTTTCAACAGTGAAGTATTTTTTTTATTATTTTTCTTGGGTGGGGACATAGCCAAAGCGAAAAGTCTTTAGATTATTGGGAAATGGAATGCGTATAGTAAAAATGGATGGGATTGAAACAAAGATTTGATCCGGTACTGCTGAAGGTCGGGTGGACCTGTATGGGCTCTGTGCTAACTGGGTAGTGTCGGAACTGAATCGCAGGACACCCACTTAGTTTGGAAAATTGAATTGGTGTTGTAACAGCATGGGGTATCAAAAGCAGTCACATTCTGCAGATGGCTTTGTAGGAAAGACTGCAGGGGTTTGTGGTCCTGGTTTAAGACCTCGATACCAGGATATTTTTGTAGTCCCAGAGATCACCCTGAGGAGGGTATAATTGTTCTGACAACCTACAGGGATTCTGGGAGAAGCATGTATTCGTTTGTTTTCATAGGATGTCACATAATGCCCAACATTGTTAAAAAGAAGCTATTTCTCACGTCCTGCAACAGAAACATGTGTCCTGGTTTCCGGAATTCAGTTGGCTACTTTTTTTTTTTTGAGGCAGAGTCTCGCTCTGTCACCCAGGATGGAGTACAGTGGCGTGATCTCGGCTCACTATGACCTCCGCCTCCTGGGTTCAAGTGATTCTCCTGCCTCAGCCTCCAGAATAGCTGGGACTACAGGCGCGCACCACTACACTCAGCTAATTTTTCATATTTTTAGTAGAGACAGAGTTTCACCATGTTGGCCAGGCTGGTCTTGAACTCCTGTCCTTGTGATCCACCCGCCTCAGCCTCCAAAAGTGCTGGGATTACAGGCATGAGCCACCACGCCCGGCCCAGTTGGCTATTTGTAAGACTACAGGTGCCAAAGGAAACTGATTTCTACAGATACTTGGCATTAATAAGCAGTGGAGGAGACTGCAGTAAACTAGAGGGAACATCCCTCTTCTAAAAGTGCAGCCACAAATATTTCAGTGACCATCATGTCTGTTCAGGAGGAGCAAGGAGAGACGTTCTTAGGACCTCTGTACCTGCATTTTCTGCAGCTGGGGTAACTGTCAGAGCTAATGAACTCAAAGTTTTATGGACTCCTATAACCTCTGCATTTCACCGTAAGGTCATGGCTGCATTGTCGAGAAAATGATGGCAGATGCCTTTGGTTTGGGAATATGGGTTTTGTGACCAGCCAGCATTCCTGTTGACTGAGAAATGATCATCTTTGGTCAGCAGTATTTTCTGCTACTGATGAAGGACTGCTCTTTCTAGGGCAACAAGAGAGGTGATGGAGGAAACATAGGATTGTCAAACTTTCTGGTTTTCTCAAGAGGGGGATAATCTAGACTTACTTTAAACCACCTGCATTTTTAAAAACGTGGGGCATATATATAAACTCATGAAACTACTATGATAATGAACAAGTTCATCATCTTCATAATCATCCTGTACCCTTCTAGACTCTATCCTGCCTCTGAACTCCCCAGCACTCCAGGTTATTTATTTACTTTCACTTTGTTTCCATTTCCTCTTTTTTTTTTTCTTTCTATTTCTAAATGTAAACAAATGTTTGCATTTCCTAAATTTTAAGAGATGGGGTCTCGCTATGTTGCCCAGGCTGGAGTTCAGTGGCTATTCACAGGTGCGATCCCACTACTGACCAGCGCGGGAGTTTTGACCTGCTCAGTTTCTGACCTGGGCCGGTTCACCCTCCTTAGGCAACTTGGTGGTCTCCTGCTCCCAGGAGGTCACCATATTGATGCCGAACTTAGCATGGCCACTCGATCGGCATAGTGCATTACAGCCCAGAACTCCTGGGCTCAAGCGATCCTCCCATCTCAGCTTCCCGAGTAGCTGGGACTACAGGCACATGCCACCGTGCCCAGCACATTACCTAAAATTTTATGTGGTTGCAATCACAAAGCATGGACCTTCAAAAAAAAATTCTGAGGTTCTTCACACTGCATAATTATTTTGAGATATTTTCAGTGATGTTTATTTGAATAGTTCATTCTTTTTATTGCTAATAGTCTGTCCTATGGATATACCACTAATTGTTTATCCATTCATCTGTTAATGGACATTTAAATAAAGTGGTGTATTTATAGTTTGATATTAAGATACAAGCTTAAACTTTTGAAACCAAAAAATTCTTTCTGCCCTTTTACCTGATCCACCTTACCATGTGAGATACAGACATACAGTATACTTTTTACTGGGTAGTTTCAAATGGGAACAAACGGAATGCGTTATGAAGCTCCATGACCATTTTCAATGATCAGTAATGATTAAATGACTATGATCCTTATTACTGAACATTTCATACCTGTTCTTGTTTCATCTATCTCCAAACATATTACTGGGTTGTTTTACTCATAATCGAGGTATCATGTCATTTAATCCCTACGCTCTTCAGTATGCATTTCCAATGTGTTTTTTTTTTTTTTTTTGAGACGGAGTTTCGCTCTTGTTACCCAGGCTGGAGTGCAATGGCACGATCTCGGCTCACCGCAACCTCCGCCTCCTGGGTTCAGGCAATTCTCCTGCCTCAGCCTCCCGAGTAGCTGGGATTACAGGCACGCGCCACCGTGCCCAGCTAATTTTTTTGTATTTTTAGTAGAGATGGGGTTTCACCATGTTGACCGGGATGGTCTCGATCTCTTGACCTCGTGATCCACCTGCCTCGGCCTCCCAAAGTGCTGGGATTACAGGCTTGAGCCACCGTGCCCGGCCCCAATGTGTTTTTTTATTAACTCCAATGACTTCAGCACACAAAATAAAAAATATTGTAAAACTTCGTAAAATCTGTTATCAGTACTCAATTGTCCCAAAAGTGTGTTTGTTATTTAAGACAGACTTGTTGCATTGAGGATCCAAAATGTATCCATGTGACTTTTAGTGTATCTGATAGTCTCTTTTATAACCTACAGGTGGCCGGGCGCGGTGGCTAACGCCTGTAATCCCAGCACTTTGGGAGGCCGAGGCGGGTGGATCACGAGGTCAAGAGATCGAGACCATCCCGGTCAACATGGTGAAACGCTGTCTCTACTAAAAATACAAAAATTAGCTGGGCGTGGTGGTGCGTGCCTGTAATCCCAGCTACTCGGGAGGCTGAGGCAGGAGAATTGCCTGAACCCAGGAGGCGGAGGTTGCGGTTAGCCGAGATCGCGCCATTGCGCTCCAGCCTGGGTAACAAGAACAAAACTCCGACTCAAAAAAAAAAAAAAAAAAAAAAGTATAACCTACAGGCATGGCTTTTCTTTATCTTTATTATTCCTCCATTGAAGTTACCCAGACGTTTGCTCATTAGCATTTGCCACAGTCTAATATGGCTTATTGTGCATCTCAGCCCAACCTGTGGATGCCCCAGATACACACTGAGAACACTGGACAGCTATGCAATATTCATGCTCCTCAACACAGCCTGGATCCCTGCATATATATGACACATCCACGATGGAAAAGATGTTTGACAGAAGACACACACAACTGGCATGAACAATAACACAAAGAATCCGTAAGATACGACAGAGCTATTGACACACCACAGCAGAAATACTCATGTAATAAAGTACCCCATCATCTGGCGTGAGGGGCCACACATGCACAATCATATAGTCCCTGTGGACCATGTGCGATGGGGCGGATGCAGCCTAGCCTGCAGAGACAACCCCCTCCTCTGGTCACTACTGGTTTTATGATGCACTGATGGGAATCAGAAAAGGGAGCTGGATGCACACCTTGGCACAACCTGGAGACTCACATACACTTGATGATTGAATGTAAAGACATGAGAACTCCTGGGGGAAGGCAATCAGCCAGAGCCTCTTTAGCAGACAACCTTTAATTGGAAATACCTGCAGAGAAGACTGGAAAGCAGTTATCAAACCAGGAAGTATGACAGGAACTTTATAGGAGGGATCAGGCTGTGTCTAGTCAGTTTCAGGAATAGTTGACAGAGGGTGGTTTCCAAGGAATAGTTGACAGAGGGTGGTTTCCAGAGACTAGGGATTCTTTGAGGATTATCAGCCATCGTTTCAATGATTTGCATTCTACCCAGAAGCACCACGAGGATGATTTGGGTAAGAAGGAAGGTAGTGGGGGTGGAAAAGCCACAGTGGAGATTCTCATTTCTTCTTCAGAGTCTCTCAACTAATTCTGTAGCGACAATGATAACTAAGTGACAGCTGAATCTTGGGGCATGGAGCAGAAGAGACTGGAAAGCAGTATTTAGCAGGAAGACCAGCAGGACCGTGGAGACAGATCATCAGTTTCCACTAAAAACCACACCCTAAGCCATAATGGAAATCACAGATACCAGTGACACTGTTTACAGACAAAATCTTACGGACACTAACACAAGAGCATGCACCCAGAATAGAAGCTAAAGTGCTCTAACCAACCAACACCATGGGTGTATCTTCAGGAAAACGTCCTCTCGTATATAAGCAAATTCAGAAGACGTTTAAAAGTGTTACACTAGATGTGCACATATCAAAGTAAGAACACGGAAAAATGAGTGAGAAAAGTGACAGTGATCAAAAGACAATACACAAAGTCCTGGGAAAAAAAATAAAGAATTTTATACCAAGGAAACTTGGGCCAAAGGTACAAGAGAGTTCTGAAAAAACGACGCAAATAAGTCAGGAAATCAATTCAGGATATGAATGAGAAATTTACCAAAGACATAAATATTATATAAAAACCAAATTCTGAAACTGAAGAATTCATTGAATGAAACATAAAATACATTTGAAAGGTCAAACAATAAACTAGATCAAGCAGAAGAAAGAATTTCATAACTTGAAGGCAGATCTTTTGATATAACACAGTCAGATAAAAATTTAAAAATATGAGTGAACAAACCCTTGTGAAACATGGGACACCATAAGGCTACCATGTATTTAAATAATTGGGGGGTCCCAAAAAGGGAAGAGAAAGTGGAAGGGTTAGAAAACGTATTTAATTAAATAACAGATGAAAAATTCTCAAGTCTAGCAAGAGATTCAGATAACCAGATATAGGAGGCCCAGAGATTCCGAAGTCTAGCAAGAGTTTCAAATAACTAGATACAAGAGGCCCAGATATTCCTAAAAAGATACAGTGCAAAAAAAAGTCTTCACCACAGCACACTATAAGCCCTCTAAAGTCAAAGACACAGAAAACTCCAAATAAAGCAGGAGAATGGTGCCGAGGCATCCAGGAAGGAATTCGTGTGAGACTCACAGCAAATTTCTCAGCAGAGACCTTACAGGCCAAGAAAGAACAGGATGATATATTCAAAGTGCTGGAGGGAAAATAAAACCTGCCAGGCAAGGATATTATATCCAGCAAAACCTATCCTTCATAAATCAAGGAGAAAATCATCCCCAGACAGGCAAAAGCTGAGGGAATTCATTACTACTGCACCAATCCAACAAAAAAATGCTCAAGGGAGTCCCAAAACCTGGAAACAAAAGGTTGACATTTCCCATGATGAAAACACTGGACTCACTGGTAAAGCAAATACACAAATGAGGAAGAGAAAAGACACAAATGGTAGCATTACAGAAAACTACCAAACCACAATGACAGACAATAAGAGAGAAAGGAAAAAAGAATATATAAAATAACAAAACAGGGGTAAAAACTCATGTATCAGTCATAATGTCGAATGTAAATAAATTATGTACTTAAATGATAGAGACTGGCTGAATTGATTTTTTTTTTTTTGAGACGGAGTTTCGCCATTGTTACCCAGACTAGAGTGCAATGGCACGATCTCAGCTCACCACAACCTCCGCCTTCTGGGTTCAAGCAATTCTCCTGCCTCAGTCTCCCAACTAGCTGAGACTACAGGTGCACACCACCATGCCCAGCTGATTTTTTTTATTTTTAGTAGAGACGGGGTTTCACCATGTTGACCAGGATGGTCTCGATCTCTTGACCTCGTGATCCACCCGCCTCAGCCTCCCAGAGTGCTGGGATTACAGGCGTGAACCACCGCACCCAGCTGAATTGATTTTTTTTTAATGATCCAACTATATGCTGCTTACAAGAAAAACTTAACCTGTGAAGATACGTATAGACAGAGTAAAGAGATGTAAAAAGATACTCTACACAAAGAGAAACCAAAAGCAAGCAGGAGTGACTACACTTAATAAAACAGACTTTAAGTAAGTAAAGAACAATTTAAAAAGGACAAGGAAGGTCATTATATATAAGGAAAAACAGCAAGAGAATATAAGAACTCTGAATACATATGCATCCAACACTGGAATATTCAGATTCATACAACAATATTACTAAATCTTAAGAGAGAGACAGACTCCAATACAATAGTAATGGGAACTTCTTGTTTTTTTTTTTTGGAGACGGAGTTTGTCTCGTTACCCAGGCTGGAGTGCAATGGCGTGAACTCGGCTCACCGCAACCTCCGCCCCCGGGTTCAGACAATTCCCCTGCCTCAGCCTCCAGAGTAGCTGGGATTACAAGTGTGAGCCACAGTGCCTGGCCTAAATGTTCTTATTTTCACAGCAGTATGAACATTTATTTGTATAAGCTGACAAAGAATCTGTTCTCCTTGTGACAGGACATAATGGGAAATATTGGTGATATTACCAAGGCTTTGACTAGAATGTCATTTTTGAAAATGATGACCAGTTTTAATGAATTAAGGTGAGTTTATGGAGCCAATGCTTAGAAATGCCTCTTGGAAAACTGGCCTGGTACCTGGCTTATAGGGTTACCAGTCTTACAGGTGAGTAAGAAAGGGGATTTTTCTGGCAGGCCTGGCGATGTGCTTTAGTTCTGTGTTCCCACCCAAATCTCACCTTGAATTGTAATAATTCCCATGTGTCAAGGGCGGGACTAGGTGGAGATAACTGAGTCACAGGGGCCATTTCCCCCATACTGTTCTCCTGATAGTGAGTGAGTTCTCACAAGATCTGGTATCTTGAGAGAATCCCTCTCTCCTGCTGCCCTGTGAAAAGGTGCCTTTTGCTGTGATTATAAGTTTCCTGAGGCCTCTTCCGTCTTTGCAACTCAGTCTTAGGTATTTCCTTATACCAATGTGTAAATGAACTAACACACCAGGAAACATAGAGTATCCAGAGGATCTTGAGAATAGAGGAATCCACCCAAATCTACAGACATCTGGTGGCAAGTTATTGGGTCAGCTTCCAAGCCTTGAGAGTCTTAAAAAGTCTAATTTGAGATTTTTTTTTTTTTTGAGACAGAGTTTCGCTCTTGTCACCCAGGCTGGAGTGCAATGGCACGATCTTGGCTCACCGCAACCTCTGCCTCCTGGGTTCAGGCAATTCTCCTGCCTCAGCCTCCCGAGTAGCTGGGATTACAGGCACGCGCCGCCATGCCCAGCTAATTTTTTGTATTTTTAGTAGAGACGGGGTTTCACCATGTTGACCAGAATGGTCTCGATTTCTTGACCTTGTGATCCACCCGCCTCGGCCTCCCAAAGTGCTGGGATTACAGGCTTGAGCCACCACGCCTGGCCTAATTTGAGATTCTTTATGAACCATTCTAGCAAAGCAAACTTTAAAAGGCCTATGTAGTTAACAATCATTCTTGCTGCACTAATGTAAATAACCCAACCGAATACAATGAAACCAGACACATTTTACAAACAAGAATCAAAAGTTGGTAATTGTAGATAAAAATTGTACGTTTAAATAGAAAACTCTACTGGACCCCTGTGTGGGTTCTCGATTCTTATTTCTCCAGTATCTGGCT